AAAAACCCTTAAGCAAAAGAATGGGAATATCTATAAGTTACGAACTAATAACTAAAAAATTTTTAAGACCATTGACTGAAAATGTTGTCATTTTTCAAGCGCAGCTATAAGCATTGCAACCATCAAAAACCACTCGAAAAAAGGGTAGGCGCAAAAAAAGTTTTTGGATCAGCAGACACCGCAAAAATCGAGTAGGGGATCCATATAAAAAGCTCAGCCGGCTTCAAAGAATAGCAAAATTGCACCTGGACTCCTCTAAGGTTTCAGGACGGGCTTTGATCCGGGCTAAAAAATGGCGCGGGGGGACTGTTTTCCAGCCCCAAAACCACGCCTTGGGACTGATCTTTGTCGGGATACTGTACTCACTAAAAAGGTGTGGCCCTCAGATAGTAAATACGTATCAAAAGAAGTGTTGAGTCGGTGATGATTGGTGAGAAATGAACACAGTCTTATTGAGGTAAGGGGTACGGTAATGGGGGGACAGGTTGAGAACGGGGGACACCAAAGGACAAGCACCGCCCCTCACCTCCCTTTTGCTGGAAATGAGTCAGGGGAGCGAGTGCGATTGCAGGGGCGGGCAAGCTTCCACCCCCACCAACCCATTCCCCGAATTAACAGCCGAAAAAATGAAATTCTAAATCAGGGGAGGCGGGGCTAGGTGATTTAGGCAAGTATCGTCTTTTTGATAAAAATCAAGGGCGACAGAAGATAGGGGGGCATGTGTTGATGAGCAATTGCTTGGTGCAGAAACTCCATTGTTCAGTTGTTTCGGTGATACTATCGACGATACTACGATAGAGAATACGGTAGTGATGGCGGTTTAAATCAAAACAGAGTGAAATTCAAATGAAAGTAAAATTCATCTTAGCATTTTATTAGGCTTTCGGTTCTTATTCAAATTTCCAAATTTTTTGCACGCAAAGCACGTCAATAGGCTTTTTCAAGGCAAAAGTGTAAAAAAAGGCTTTTTTTGCTTGCAAAAATTAGGAGATTTGGATATGAACGGGAAACTTAATCAGAACCTCAGCCCAGGTTTGATTTGAATACCACCATCCCCACTGTAGAGCTACTATATCTTTAAAACCCACAACATTCCCAACCGTCAACTGTTGCGTTCGGAACGTCGACAGCTATAAAATTAGCTGCCTAGCCTGTTTTACGCACGATTTTACGAGTCTCGTCTGCGCGGCACTGTCTATTCGCTAATTTGGGTGTGGTTTGGTCAGGTCATACGCTGATTTTTATAAGGTCAGTTAGAAAGACAACAAAATAGCTAGGTAGATAAAAGGAAGCAAAAAAAATACCAAACCCTGGTTTGTAACAACAGCTTGTGGCCCCTGCCCAACACACGCATGCTTTTACATTTCTCATGCATTTTTCAACCAAACCGCCCTCTACCCTTTATCAAGCATACTTATTCAGCACACTCCATGTAAGGCACGGGCTCGGGGGACTAGTAAGAGCTGGTCAGTTCTCTGCTGCTCGATTATTTTTGGCCTCCCCGCCCGTTCACCCGCGAGAGCACAAACCGTGGGCGACCCATAGTGAGCGCTGGACAAACAAGCAAATTACGCGCTCTTTTACCCGTTTTTCTTTGCCAGTACCCCCCCCGGGAAAGAATCAACAAAGTAAAATAATAGGGGCAAGTTGGGGGTGTGCTAACTATTTTGAGCCCGGATTTTCCGGTGGTTTAGGGTTGCATTCTAGGGATCGGTTGGGTTAATGATGGGTTTTGGAAATTGGGTTCTGGTGGGTGCAAGCTCATTCCCAGAAATTGTTAGGTAGTAGGGTGCAGGTAAGGTCGGACGTTGATGATTTCTGAAATGTACGTGCAAAAGTGTTGGTTGTTGTTTTATAGTGTTGGTCATGATTTTTGGATGTGGGGGAAGATAAAACAATTGTTTTTCCTCTTCGAGTCGACTTTTAAGTTGATATAATGATTTTAAAGGCTGGAATAGCTCAAACTGGTGCTCGGGAACCCGAATCGTTAAAGAATGCCATGTTTTAGGTTTTTCAGGTCTTAAGGTATCGAACCCCCGGTATACTATACAGCTAACTATTATATAAAAGAATTCAAATACATTCCCATATTTTTTGATGGATGAAATAACCCTATTTCCATCCAGAATTCAAATCCAAAAAGCCCCCCCGGGCTCCTTTAGAGCTCCTTTAAATCCCATACCTTATCCAGGTTCAAATTGTTTTTTTTTGCCAAAATCAAAAAGTGCACCCGATGACTAACTGTCTCCGTGCAGGATTCCTAATGGAATTTACCCTAAAAATACCCATTTCCTGAACTATTTCAAAAAACAGCTCATCTTCGGCTCACGTTCAGCGAAAGCCCGACCAGCCCACGGCTTCGACCCACGTGCTAAGCGCAAACAAGGCTGCTTCCGGGGCGAGTGATCTCGCGTAAACTTGGAAACATCCGTTATACCGCGGGGGACCGTTCGCCTTGTGTGGCGCTTTTTGGGGAGTCGAATGACGCAAAAAGGACTGAAAAGGACGGAGAGACTGTGTGCTTTTGAGAGAGACTATAGGGGAATGCGTGGGTTGTGGGCAGAGGGGGGTCTCTTTCTCTCTGTGTCTGTCTGTGTTTGTCGGTGTGTTCCAGGACTGACCCCTCGCGACAATGCTATAGAGCTGCACCCCCGCATCTGCAGCTCTAGTTGACATGCACTTTTTTTGGGGGTGGAGGGGAGGGCATCAGCTTTAATAAACAGTTCTTGGAGTATTTCCGGTGGTTTTTTAAGGGGATGAGGTCAAAAGGTTTGTTGTTGAACCGAAGGAAAGTATTGTCCAAAATAATACAGGGTCAAATATTTTATAAAGGCTGAAGTATCTCAGTGCTAGGATAGTTAAGTTAAGCTCAAAACAACACTCCTGATCAAAGCACGACCTTTTAAGGTATTCCTACCAACCCACCCGCCTACGGTAAACGCGCCGGTAGGCCCCTTAATTATTGCAGCTGCTCGATTAGTCAAATGCCTGTGCCAATTATGATGAAGCACGCGCGGCGCATGCTCATTTTGACCAATCTGCATACAAGTATATGGACAAAAAAGCTAAACCAATAGTAAACCAAAAGAAAATACAAAACAAAAACACAATTCAAAAATTCCTAGCCATACCGCTTGACCTAAATCGTTTGGGCGAAAATATTTTCTCCAAGTCAAATCAACCTGACCTTAAAGGAAATTGGATAGGCGCAACCAATAACATTTTCTGCCTAAAAACGAACATGAATACTATGTTCTTTTACATTAAGAAGTCTCATTCAGTTTCCTGTAAAGCTTTTCTCTTTCAGCAATTAATTATTTACAGAAAAATCCGGAAATAATGAATTGACTCCCGGTCCGCCGGTAAAAAGTGAGAGATTTCTGGGGGCCTTTGTGCTTTGGTTGGCTGTTCTAGTAATGTGAATTGGGCTGTAGCTGGGGCTACAAAAGGTATGGAAGCTTCAGGGGTAAGAAGTTGCATGCCGGAAGCTTCAAGTATGGCTGGTCGGGTTGGCTACAAAAATCTTGGGTACCGGGTGTAACTTGGAAAAATGTAGTCTACGGTTGGTGCAGGCTTGGAAAAAATAGACAGAAATGTAGCCAGTCACAGGTTGAAATCGGTTTGGGAAATGTATGTAATTTTAACGTAGCGTTGAAAGAAGAAGCAGTGGGTCTAAGCCAACCCAGCTTCCGGCCTTATATAAACCCGAAACCAAGACACCTGGACATTCTGAAGCACCGAAATAGATTGAAAAACAATTCCAAATCTATTTAAGTGTAAGTGTGATGTCGTAGAATTGCGTGGAAGTGCACGTCCATGCCAAGTGAAGGCGGCGACTCGACCTGAGCAGGTGTTATATTCGAGGCGGGGCACCCGTTTCTGGAAGTGTAGGCGGCGACCGGCCCTCCAAGGAGAGAAGCTGTGTAGGTGGAGGCCCACCTTATTATTACTGACACCAACCAGCCGTTTATTAACGATGGAACGTGCTGGGTAAATTGGGGGGATATCCGATCGGCTTGACGTCTCCAGACATCAAACACTTTGCCCCCTCTTTTTCAAATGACAATAAGTTGATTAGAGGGGAATTTCAAAGGAGTTGCTATGAAATTGGTGGGTATGGGGGGATGAGGTGGATTTTTGGGGGTGGAAAAGAAGGGGTATCGGGTTGTAATTATGTTTTCATGCGTGCACGAACCAGGAAATTGTCATTTGCAAATAAACGGTAATTTATGATCCAAAATACGGATTGATGGAGATCAGTGTGTTGTCAGAAAAGAACTTTATCATGGCATTTACTGAAATCGGCCATGATTTATCCAAAAAAAAAACAGAATTTTCTGTAATTTTGGCATGACTTGATCGCAATTTTAAAAATTGAAAAATCCATTATTTGAATTTAACAAACGGATTTTCATAACTTGCAGGTTATGTCTTTGCGTTTGAAGTTTTTAATATCACAGACTTGCCTCATATGTATATCTTTGGCTTCCAGAATAATTCTTAAACGGTTTATTCCGCATCTTTCACATATCGACTAAAAAATATGGTAATACAATTCATGTGTGTTTCTAAATGGATATGGCACCAATCATGTGGCTGTAAAAAAGCCCAGAAATAGCAAAAGAAATAGAAAATAGGCAACAAATGTAAATAGAAAAGGGTGCGTAATCACAGTCAACGTCTTGCTGGGACGGTTGGGGGGGGGAAGAAGTGATTGGGGAATGATGGAGGGTGATGCGAGATTTTCAGTGGCCATGGTTCCAAAAAAAAAGTCAAAAACGCTGTGGGTGACTAATTGTAAGCTCAAATACAAATTCTAGATTATACTTATTCAAAATCTCAATTGGAAATGAACTCGATTCAAGAAGTTATTTTTGGTTTACAAAAATTGCTCCGAAAAACACTTATTATCAAGGAAAGTAGCAATTTCTTTGTAGAGATGTGGCCTGACGCTCATCATTGAGTGATCTTGATTTGTATATACCTAGAGGAAACGATTATATAGTATTGAATAGACCGACCAGCTGTGTGAAAGCAATCCCGGCTTCTTGTAGCGCACCAGCAAGTAGGGCACTATTCTGGTAATGCACGTTATCTAAATAAGTAATTTTCGTGAAAATTGCATGAGGCTATAATTACCATCAGCGCTGCCGTGGGCGAGGAAATAATTGACATTCCGCAATCTTGCCACCTTGTCCGTCAGCCGCGAGTTCTGGAGAAGGTTTTTCATTGTTGAAAAAAGTGATAATGCAATATTAAGAAAGAATGGTGAGAATAATTGATTTTGGGCGGCTAGTTCCATGTGGGGGGTGAAATGAGTGGGAGCTGTTTAGCACAAAGGCGTTGGCGTAAATTGAATGAAATTAATATGGCAAACATCGCGCAGACGTTCGGAATTTGACGGAGGTGGTTAATTCAATCATATATTGAATTAATAGGGTAAGATACTTTTGTTTTCGAAGTTTTTATTAAACTCACATTATACCCAGCCATGTTCTCCGATGGCATTCCGAGGTACCTCTCCGTGTAGGCGCTATCTGAAACCCACCATTTAGCCATTAACACTCAATTATTAGCCGGTTAGTGGTACGCCACTGGCATAACCAAATTTGCTACACCCGCCAGCAGAACCCCCCGAAGTTCAACGATTAGGTTCTGACCGTAGAAGGTAAAGTCCGCAACCGGAGCAACGGCCAAAGCACATCGGAATACATTTCCTCGATCTTTAACAGCAATGTGTGTCGCTAGGAAGCCACCGTAGGACTAAAAAAGATGTTATAATGTAATCAAAAATCCTACCCATCCAAAAACAGCCACTGATTTCTTGTTCATATAGGGGTATTTGTCGATGATTTTCCTTAACGATAAATGATATACTATACTAGAAGATCCCACCTCATCCCCTCAATTTGGTCATCAACCTCCGGGCCTCCGATCGTGTTCTTCATGGCTCCTTTAATATCCCAGCCTCGATGCTTTGAGCCCCGGCCGTCAATGTAGATAACGATCATCTAAATTTTATATATAAACTACGATGTGAATGCTTTACCAACTTTTACCAACTTTTTTATGCTTTACCCACCTGTCTGGTCGAACACAAATACACCAAAAAATCCCATGGCGTCTCAAGACTGTTGATGTAAGAGTTTGGTCCGCCATATCTAAAAACCAAGTTATTTTTAGGGTTATTTAAATCAAAAAACGGTGTCGGCTAATTTGCACCTGCCTAAATTAGTCAAGAAATGCGTGCCCCTGCGTAGGCAACTCAATTTGCTTTAATGGATCTGGGTGGGTGTAAAAAACACGACAATTGACTACAGGTGAAATGGCCAAAAGACGTATGCAGAAGTTGGAACGCTTTCGTTACTTCTAAAAACCTAGCTTCAGCGTCATCAAAAAATAATTCCAGCTACAAAGACGCTAATTTCCGAGAAAAAACTTACACATCCAAGAGAACTGGATGATTCGCAGTCTCGTCAAACTTTGGTGGTCTCATTATACCAACGTGAGCTTCTGTAAAAGGTCTTGAAACAAAAATAATGATGATTTACCGATCCCTGAAGGCAGCATCACTTTTTCATATGTTATTGTGGGCTCATCAAACGATAGGACAGCGGCTTCAAAGCCACGGAGTTGAACAACTGAAAAATATTGTCTACAGATTGGATTTAAATTTACATTCGTTGTTCTTCTCAGTGTCGATCAGGAATAGACGGCCGTTATCGAATGCTTTGTTACAGGTAAGGGCTGCACGTTTGCCTTTGGGTGAGATCTGGAAAAAGGGATCCTGGATAAGAGGAGTAAGTTACCGAAATCGTGGCGCTGTCACAATTTGGAAGCAAGCAGCTTATACATTGGATCTGAAAGATCATGATTAAATGATCTGATTTGTATTTTACAGTATAACCAACAACGAATCAGGTCAAAAATTACCTGTGCCAATCTGGTACTTGCGCCTCGGATTCGGAACAAACGTTTGAAAGCAATAGCACCACCTGCCGATTCGTAGAACCTAGACAAAATAATCATGGTATTTAGGTTAATTTTCTATAGATTTTTTTATTATTTAAAGATACTAAAAAATTTTAACTTACAAGGTATCCTTTTCATAATCATATCCATGAATTTTTACAATATCATAGGTACCACCATGGAAGGTTGTTACTCTTCCAGAACCGTCGTCCTAAGCCACGATTTAGCAGAACTTTTCAAAACAAACCTGGACTCGAATATGTGCAATATGTTGGTAAATATTTCCGTCGGTGTATTGATGTGGCAAAATTACAAAAAAGCCGCTTGGAGAGGCATGTAGGTTCTAAACGTATCTAAGGTTTAGTGGACAAGAACTTTTACTTGGAAATCTTCAGGCTCAGCCCACAACTCTTTGTCGTTAATCTCATAATTTTGCGAGTACGTCTAAATACATTCAAGTAAAAATTTTCAGTTGGATTTTAATACCAGAACGCAGTCCTCCAGATCGCAAAGTGTCATGTAGACATTCATCTGCTCCCGGTCGGCCCAGGTTGTCAATAGTTTTTCTCTTCTGGTACCATTCATCGCGACAGAAATGAAGCTATTGGCAAAGATATAATATGACCTAAAAATACTAAGTAGGTATGATTATTGAAACTTACATATTCCTGGTCATCAACTCTTCTGGCGGCGACACGACCACTTTCTTGTTTTTCTTCCGATCCATAAGATAGAGCGTAACTTCCGGTTGATTACTGACTCCAGCTTTTGGATACGGTACTTCCATATAGCTACAAATTAAACAAATATAGTCTCATAGACTCTGGCTTACTCTGGATACTGTCGGAATGAGTAATACTTCGGAACATAGGCTCGGTGGACGTATTGGTCATCAAATTTAATATAGGCCGTTAGATCGCCACGCTTCGACCAAAATAGAGCATTAGGCGTGATTTCCTCTTAAAAGTTGTATAAGGAAGATTTGGTGTGTTCAAATACCTTCATATAACCAATCAGCAATGCCATATCTCAAAAAATTATGTCCATTTTCGGATAGCGGAATGGCTGTCCCAGGCTTTTCTGGGTCCGCTTGGTAATAGAGATTATAATTGTAGACGAAAATCTATAGAAAAGATAAATTAACTATTTAAAAACGATCCGTACAAAATCATGCATCAGCGGATTTGGGTTCCATTTGAATGAGGACAATGCCTCAGTACCCGTTCCATTTGGACCCACAAATGTATATTTTCTAAAAAAGCTTGTTTCAGCTAAACTGGCTTTCCATACAATAATTTTCCATCGTTAACTTTTGCAATTTGATAGATGGCATCTTCCGAATATCGGAAGACATGATTTACAATTTTGCTAAGCGCAACGAATTTGCCGCTTGGTGAAAATGTGGCTCGATCGCCTAAAAACTTGATAAAAACACAGAGATGAGCTGTTACTTGTAAATCCAGCTTGGAATTCAGAACCCGGAATGAACGTTTCTTCCTGAGAAGTTTGTGGTCGGATGATGTTAATATTAGCATCCTAAATTAAGGCAGTTTTTAAAATAAAGTCAGATTTGCCACCTCTTCAGACACTGACATATTTCCGGCATCCGGAATCATCAAACTGTCGTCGGTCAACCATTTCGTGGGATAATACGTGCGCACTTGGTGCTTGTTTGCTAATAAATCTTCGAATGTGAAGGGTCTAAAATCATAATCATAATAATTCATAATTTAACGGAACTGCCTTACCTATAATGCGCAGGTTTGCGTCGAATCGTGCTGTTGCCATTTGTCGTGTCCCAGGCTGCAAATTCGGAAGAATCTCCAAGAACTACAGCTGGAATTCAGGATTTCGACATGAAATTGAGAAATAGGGCTTACGCTTTTGTGTAAGTAGTAATACTACGGCGGCCGCTACGCAAATTACTACCGTAATCGCAAAGGCGCAAAGCAGGAGGGCGCGCCATGCACAGCACGTCCACTGCTAAAAGGTGCATTTGGTACTTGTAGGTCGTCGTAAAGTTATAATAGGTGGCAAATATAGACGTCACTAACTATATAAAACTATTTAACTCCCACTACGGTCAAACGTGCTTCAATTTATCTATAGCTTCAAAACACCCACATTTTTTTCGGCCATATGCAGACGGCCTTACATCATCCGCCTGGCCGTGGCCAGCGTCCGTTCAATCGAGCGTTCGGACGAAAAATTCGGAAAATCGGGATAGAAGAAGCTCGCGGCCAGCAATAGGTCGTTGGTACTGTTTGCTGTCGTTGACGATGATACCTTCTGCCCCCAGGGGGTTAACTATCCAGCGACTTTGCGCCCGAACGAGGAGACCACCCTCGAACACGTGTTGACACACAATTCTGGGAGGACGATCGGGGGGCGGAGGGCCACAATCTGTTTCCCGCTACGGGGGAACACCCTGCAAACAGTCTCCATTGTCAATAGCACTTCTCCATTTCCCATAGATGGGACAAGTGTTTCTAGTTGAAAGAAGAAAGCGAAACCAGTGGCGAATTGGTGGTTTTTTATACCTTAATAGAGGTTTAAAGCGCGTTGATGAGAGGGGAATTTTATGTCTGAATTCTTAAGGACCTTACGAGGTATATACCTCATCTGTAGGACGGTCATTCGATATATACAGTAAAAGTGCCAGTTTTTAGCGTAGAAGGGTGATGCAGACAACAGGTTATCCAAAAGAGGAAAGCGAAAATCCTAAAAATTGGGTTGAAGATCTGTAAGGTTAATTATCCTTTTAATCATATAAAAGCATATTTTTAGACTATTTCAATTCTAATATCCATTATAATATTCCGTTTGAAACTAAGGAATCAATAAAGATCCAGCAAACCAGGTGCGATAATGATATTAATATTTTTGGGTGTAAGATAACAGACAACCTTGAAATATTTCATTCTCGACACTGATATTTCGGATAAGACAGTCAAAAAATCAAAACTACTGGAATGGACTCATCAAAAATTGCAGATCAGCACTCCTTTGCCACAAACCCGTCCCCCCAAAAGTGCATCCACCCAAAAAAATCACAACAGCCACCAGCCAAATGCGAGAAAAGGATAAAAAGCATCGACGTCTTGAGGTGCTCTTGAGATGCTAAAAGGTGGCGGTATGCCATTAAGCGACCCCCATAATATTTAATGATGATGCGTTCGGCCTGTGGCCGGGGGGGGGGGGACGGGCTGGCAGAGGATGGGTCTTTCAGGACCGGATGGAAGGGGGGGGACCCAGTGTGGGTCGATCAAAACAGGCGCCTAGCACTATTGGCCGTTTATCCTCATCCGAGTGTAATACATCACCTTCCGCTAACAACATTCCGCACCCCAAAAAAAGAGGTATTGGGAGGGGAGGGGGGAATGGGTGGTGTTGGATGGACCATTGCGGGACCGGTAATTAGAATTTGGGGGTTGGGCAGGGGGGATGTGTTGACCGCTGGGGTATGGTGGGAATGTTTGTGATATATTTAAATATATATTAGTTGTATGAGGGAATGGCAAGGATAAAATTAGGGTTTGGATTCCAGTAGAGGGCAAATTTTGGGTATGAAATCACGGCTTTAGTATTCTTTTTTTTTGTTAATAACAAGCTGGTAGCAATTCTTCAATTAAAATTCAGGTCTAGATTTTAATAACGGCTTTAAATATTGTCTAAAAATACCCTGGTCCTATCATTAATTGTGTATCACCAATTTACTTAAGATAATGAACAAAGTAACCTGAACCGATATAGATAAAATTTTCTGCGTTTGTTAAGGTCATTTAGCGTTCAAAATGGTCGGACTTCTTTAAAGCAGAAAACAAGATATAACTAGCCAATTTATAAACGAAAAATTGTTCATACGTATCAATGAACTTTCTGATGATTTTCTATATTTCTAACAGTTTCTATAAAATAAAAAATTTCACAATTTTTAGAGCCATTTTCTGCTCCTAGTGGTAGTTATAAACGAAAAAACGTCATAAACTCTGCCAACAACCGCCAGCAATAAACGGTGAATCGAACGAATGGAGTGGAAGGGAGGGCAATCGCTTTTCCACTAACCCCATCCACCTCCCCCCCCCCATCCATCCGAGACCATCCGTTGGGCACGACCACAAAAAGCCTCCCCATTACCGGGATGAATGTGGGAAAGTGGCACTTCACAAATCTTCTCATAACTCGCCACATCTCTCTCCAAGCCCGGTGGAGTCCCTCGTTTTTGCTAGTCTTTCAGCTGATTATCCGGCTCACTCACTCACTCACTCGCTCCCACCCTCGCACTCATCCGACTCGGCTGTCAGCGGCAGTTACTAGCTTTTCAAGGGTTCATTTCGGGAGATAGATTGTGTAGAAACTTCCGCGTTTTGGATAGGGTAGTCAAAACAAGATGTGGGGTTAGCGGGGTCTGGGAGGTCGAGAACAAGGCGCGCTAATTTTTAGACTGGGGTTTTGGATAGAGTTGCGGGGCAATATTTGTGAGAGCGTAAACAATACGGCTAGAAAATATAAAATAGTGAAAAATAAGTTACATAGACAATTGAGCATAACAGACGAAGAATAAAATAAAATAAACTAAAATTTAATGGTTGCCAGTTTCCGGAGCTATAATTTCTTTGTATATTTCAGTTCCGGCAAACCACAATAGGAAAAGAAAATTTGCAACGGTCTCGTTTTCACACCGTACGAAACCTATTCTCCTCCATGAAAGGAACCCTGGAGGCGGCCCGCAAAAAGAACGGCCCCGACAAAAAGGAAAGTATCTGTACACAGATGGTCTTCCCCCAGCCACACAGATGGCCCCTTTTTTAGAACCTACGAAAAATCATCTCTTCCTCCAGAAACGTGGAAATAGCCTAATATATAAACGTATAGAATTTTACCGACTGTATAATAGTAAAGGGTTGGTTTTTGAGAGTCCCCAACACGGGTAGGCGGTGGTTGGGGGAGGGGGAGGATGGGTTGGCGGGGAGGCGACAAGACAAAAACAAAAAAGCAGGGCCGCTAAAAATTCAAAGCCGCAAAACTAGTTTCGGCAGGGGGGGAGGGGAGACAAGGTATAGGGGAGGGAGAAGGAAGAGAGACTGGGGAGAGTCACCCGGGGGTAATTTCATCTGTATCGAGAACATCGCTCTTTAACGGGGGTGTAGATTAAGCGAGGGGGGGGGGGACAAAGAAAAATCGGATCTGAAGATTTAAAAATTTTAAAATCTGAATTTATTTTCTTTTGTGAAAAATAACTTTAAAACTGTCTTTGCGATAAAATATTCTAAAATTTGAAAACTATGGAAACTTGGCTAGTAATTTAAAATGAAGAATTAATTTTAAAAAAGCTTGTTCAAATTTTTATAAATTGGTACATGCATAAAAACTTACAGGATGCCGGATAGCCCTAATATCAAAATTAGTTTGCCATAATTTTCATAATATTTTTAGAAAGAAATCGCCAACCTGGAATCTGAAAATTCCATTCAGCAAGATTTTTTGCATAGAAAAATTGATTTAACATTGTAAAAAGTTTGGATTGGAAGACGAATCCAAAATGGTTGCGTTAATTTATGTAAAATTTTAAACACTAGCTAATATCCCTAAAAACCTTATCCCAACGCCAGACTCCTCCCCAAAACCCGATCAACCGAATATTTACGCATGCAAATGAGCAGCGGGTGATTGATGGACTCTTCCCAGCCAGAAGAAGCGTGACTCCGGAGCCAGCAGAAAAGAAGAGAATATATTCGGGAGTGGTGCTTGAGGGGTAGAAAGAAAGAGCTCTTTTGTAACCTGAACCCCGGGGGGCGGTGGTTGTGTTCTCCGTTTGCTTGAGCCCCTCCGTTGAGGTTGGTTCCAGCCGTGGACATCAATTTCAGGCGGCCTTAAAAGGACAGCGCGAAAGTTTTGGTGGTGTGGCCGTTAGAAGGTTGGGTGGGGGCTGGAGAAAGGGGTGGGTGATATTCTGCGACGATGGGAAGTGCCGCGTACTTATTTAGCAGAAATTACGGCGTAATTGTTTGAGTATTTTTGATGGTTCGATGGATGTGGGGGGTGTTTTAAATTTTCGCGTGGGCTAAAAATTATAATATCTTGGAAAATGCAAAATGGTCTTAATAACGTTTTTGGGATTCGCGAAAATCTTTCGGGCGGATTTTGGTTAGAAAAATGCTATTTTACGCTCGCCGTATATTAGTATATTTATTGAGACAAAAATAATGAAAATAAATGAAATTACTAATTTAAGAAACCCCAGTCATTAAAATCACAAGCGCAAATCCATAATCAAAACCTAGTATCTCTTAAAGACTGGCCTCCCCAATATCGATTTGAACAAATTGGAAAATGAGCGTGTGCAGACAATGATTGGAGATAGAGACGAGAGAACTGCTCGAAAAAGGACAATTGTGTGAAATGAGTGGCTCGGACAACTCTCAATGGTTCCAAAAACAATGCAATCCCCCATTGACACCTTTTTGCCAATCGTCTGTCTCTATATAGTGTCTATAGGTAGCAGGGTGGATGGGAGCATTTTGTTATTTGAGTCAGCCAAAATATTTGTTGAACGCCGCGACCGCTAACAGCCAAAGAGGTTCTTAGGCCGTTATTAGTATTATTCGGAATGGCGGGGGCGATGGGATTGGCCAAATTTACTATCATGCTGACACAGTGAGACGCTATGGGGGAATAATAATAGCCATGGAAGAGAAGGCCCGGAGCTATTGGATGGGCCGAGATGATCGAGTGCATTTCGAGGGCCCTCATCGGCTTCAGACGCCCCCCCCTTAGGGGTTGGAAAGAAATCCGGGCGACTCCAGGAAAATTGACACCTACACTTCCGGGGGCAATATGCAATGAACGTCTAAATGGCAAGACCATAGTTTTTTGCAAAATTTCTTAGTAATGTAGATTGTTGTTTATCATTCATGATTTATTAATACCTTGCTGAAATGTTGGAAAGTGTATTACGATATGAGGCGCTATGAGAAAAATTACTCCTAGTAGACTGTATTTAAATTTAACCATGTATCCAAATTTAACGAGATCCGCTTGTCTTGCGCATTTTGCAAAGGCAGATTGCGCTTCATTCGCCTAATAGCAGTTTCCAAGATGTTAAATTAGGATAAAGCGCCCTATAAGAAAAACAACCTATCCCAAATTGTATGCACATTTGACTGAGTTTATTGTGTTTTTGCAAAAAAATGTTGTATGCGTGAATGGTGATTTTTCATCTTGACAGAACTTTTATTAAGATAAAACACAATAGGGGAAGCAAATCACCGACAATAAACTGTAAGCAGCTTTATGCGTTTCGGATGCAAGATTCTAGTCAAGATGCTTCAATTCCTCTGGCATATACCCGTCTTCCAGCAATTCATCAGTCAACTGCACGTCGGTCAATTTATTTACCTTCAAGAAGGTATGCGCATCTGTGAAGCCCTATAATCTTATGATTAATGGCCCCTTTCTTCCTTAGTATTACAAGTTACCGTACCTGCTTATAATACGAGCGTAATTGATCCAGGGGCGGCGGAAATAATGCGTGCTTGCCGCGTACCAAGTTGCGAGCATTCGCCTAAATCAGCCTAACTTAACAAGGTACTTTTCCTACCAAAATCAGGTGTTTTCCAAAATCAAAGGTCATGGGATAAATCCAAGGCGCCGGGTCAATTGGCGCAATATCAGCATTACCTAAAAATATATAAAAATTTGCGCACACTAACCTGAAAATGGCGATACAGTAATTGTCTTAATATCATCCCAATCAGGCAAATTATTGGAATAGAAGCCATCAAAGAATTCCTAGAAATGATTCCCGCAGCAAAATAATCAATACTACCATTCCATCAATGATTGGACGTTTCCCATAGAAGCCCTTACTATATCCCGGAATATAGCAAGATGCCAACAATGTCTCGATCAAATGCGTTCTGTCGTGAAATTTTGAGATGAGCTTGTTTTGTTTTCCCTAAATTATGTAAAAAATTAAGGTATAGATTCAATACCTCATAGCTAGTAAGCGACACCATCAGACGATTTTGTGCTGGTGAGATGTCATTTGGAATATGATCATCGACAATTTGGAGCAATCTACAAAACCATAACGTTTATTTTTAATCTCTCCGAACCTGTCTTGTAGTACATATTTCGGAGTTAATGCGCCCATAGGTAAGCTATGAAGTTCAATGGCCATTTGGTAGAAGGTTGCTAGGCCTTTATGCAGGCGCTCAGGGTGAAGGACAAGGAGAGCAGCTACTAAGGAGCCAGCCGACGCACCGCCAATTCGTTTGACCTTCGACATTAGCATCTAGAAAGAATAAAAACAGTTAACTATTGTTTATTTGTCTTAATTTATAACTTTTAATAATTTGAATTGTGAGTAATTTTATAGCTCGTTAATGCCAGATCATGTCAGGTGTGGCGTTCCAAGACTCACCTTTCCATGCCGGAACAGACAAACGGCAGCTCCAATATGGTAAGTTCCAAGGAATCCGCATCCGCTCAAGGATAAGGCAACTTCCTTGCTTGCTGAAATAAAAGTTAAAAAACACGTCCTTTAATCCCCGCACATGATTCCGCGGTGTTCGTGAGTAGGCTGGCGGATAGTGCGCCAGACGGCGTGGTGCAGACACACAGGGGAGGGGTAGGGCGCGGAATAGGCGGCGAAAGAGTGAGACTAGGCTATAGGGCACGGGGGGAAGAGAACAGGGGGCGGGGCCAGAGCGCAGATTCTCCCTTCCCCTGTATGCCTGCCATCCTGTCCCGGTCAAACGGACACAACTGGTAAAGGGCGGAATGCTGTGCCCGAAAGTTTCTGATGATATGACATTACGCAATGTAAATCAAGACTTTCCTCCTTGTTTTAAAAATGGTTAATAACTTTTTGAGCGCTTAAAGTTCAAAAATGCTAACAAATTGATTAAAATTGAACCATGAAAATCATAAAAGAAAATCTCTTATAAGCATGTTTATTGTATTAATGTTTATAGCGTTTAATAAGTTAATTATACCTGCAACAGTATGCTTCGTAATATCAGGCCGAATTCGCATCGTGACGTTAGATAAAAAGCGTTCAGTGTCATCGACTCACTCTTTCACTCCCGGCTGAGGGCTGGTAGGAGTAAACAAGTGCAAATGGGAAAACAACAACGTCTGGCCGGACTCTGCTGTAGTCTGTAGCTCTCCTTTCGAATGGGCGCCGTCAAGGCCCCCAACCCTCATTTAGCCCACAAATGTCAATGATAACTTTGATATGTGGACGAATTATTCGGTTTCTACATTCTATACTCGGATTCTTGAAGCGAGTTGTATGCTTTTGGCGAAAACGGGATAATAATATTGGAGAGCTACCTTTTACTGGTAATATATTGTGCTTAAAAGTTTGTTTCAAAGGTTTATGCAGGTTTCAAAGGTTATCGAAGGTTATACTTATCGTTAGAACCAAATCAATTTGCTTCATCTGAAAATATGCAATGAAAATTGTGGTGTACCGTTCTTATTCCTTACGTTTCCTGATCGACAAGGCGTTTTTAATAAATAATTCTTCATGATTGACCTCAAATTGTATTTAACTAAGAATATAATAGTTGAACCCCTCTTTTAATCAATAATTTTCATCGTGTTTTTTACGAAAAATGCTTATAAGCAGCCCGAGATCATATTTGAAAAATTAAATTTGGAAACGTTACATTTACATGGTATTTTCTCTGACAAATGTCGCGCTGATATAAATTCTAATTGGTTGATTTCAGTAAATGTAAACCGTGGTCCGTCCGAAGTACGGTCCGAAGTTCCGATTCTTCCACCCGTCGTCGCCGATCAATGGGATTCGGGATGGGAGCAGCGAGACCTTGTCGATCAGAAAATTGAAGCTTATCGACTCGAGCAGGTGAGAGAATTAGTACGTTAGCCAGAAAACTACTAATATAAAATGTTCAAGCATTCATTTTTTAGGAGAAGATACGCACAAAATCGGTCGATGCTGATGAGGGGCCAAATTTCTTCGACGATATGGCACCGGATATCAAGAAGGCCAGAAAGGTAAGGCCATACGGAAATTGTAATACTTTTTTCAAGGTGGTGTTGAAACCGAAAAATTCCGGAAGTCAGCAGAGTCGGAATCTTTTTGCGTTCAACAGTGATGAGGCAGTGCCACAAGTTCCGGTAGGTTACTAGTGGATTTAAAGCTAGTGCCTATGTCATTGGATTGGGGATATACTAATTGCTAAAAACTGTATCGTGCTTAGAGTAGTGTACCATAAAAATGTAGCTTTATCCAACCCTATCGACGACAACCATCCCTAGAACATCACGAAATATAGCACAACCCCCCGCAGGCGTCACCGGCTGACTGTCGTTTCGTACCGAAATCGGTTTTCTTTCGCTCTCCGTTGTATCGGCACATTAATCCTAGTTGGGGACAGCCATCCTCCTTTTCCTCATCCTCCCCCTTTCCTGCTCATGCTCCTCTTCCCCCTCAACCTCCTGCCTCGATCTTCTTCCACACCTCAAGATATCCATCCGTAAAGGCGCCACCTCGTCGCGCCCCCGAAAAAAACTGGCAAACCCTCGATGAAGGGGGCTGCACATCCGATTGTCATCTCATCCCCACGCACTAAATAAACAATGCTCGCGATTCCTAGGGCTTTCGATTAGAAATATTATATTCTCTGGCAAATGTAAATTGAGGGTATTGCACATTTAAATTAATGAGATACGATGGGTTCCTCGATTTTTTCGGGTTGGCTCTCCTTTTGGAGGTCGGCCTTGGCTTGGAAGCGTTCGAGGCGCAGCTTCAGGAGGTTGAGTCGGTGCTGCTCGGCTTCGGTCATTTTCTAGAGGTTTAGATTGGGATGATTAATTAATGATTGTTGGTTACCTCTGGTTGGCAGCTATCCATTTCTTTTTGATATTGGCAAACTTCAATGCGAGCATCAACCCTAAAACAAATAAATTTGATTCTGACCACCAAAATGGTGCGATTTTAAGATATATTAATTTTTCTGTGGTTGCCTACCCTAAAAACCATACCTTGAATCCCCATCTCGTTCCATTTCAATATCGCGAATATAGTGATTCACACCGAGCACGGGCTCGGCACGTAGAGATGGGCCAAGAACCGGAACCGAATCCCAGTCCCTCCACGCGCATCGTTCTCCACGGTTGTCTTAAAAACACCTAATCCGAATCTCTACCTCTCACTCACCGCTCTCAATCTTGGTGGCAAAGGAAGTACAGCACAGAGCCATCAACGACTTGGTGTTCATCAGAACTCCAGAAACGAAGGTTCTGCGTCCCGAGAATGCCTCATATCCGACTGTTGAAGAGCAATTGTGCTTCCATTCACAAGATACTGCACAGTGATACGGTACAAAGGGCGCGCAAACGGCCTGTAGGGCAGATTCAATTTCACCAAAATGTATCGCAACTTACCATATTACTCTCGAGGGCAAATAACTTTTGACCGACATAGCATTGTATGGCCGCGGTTGCGATGGCGGGTAGTAGGGCAAGTAGGTAAGCTGTTCGACACATTTCTAAGAATGGAAGGTTGGGAACGGTGGAATAGAAGTGGAAGGAAAGAGAACGGCATCTTCTAATCGAATTAGCGTGCAAAAACATATGAGGTGGGATGAACTTTTCGTTGAAGCAATGGGGGGTGAAACCTGGGTGAAAATTCGAGTTGTATCAAGGTGTATGGAGCGATGAGTTATATTGAATGGACTTGGTTAGACAGTTGTTTGAGGGGATGACGTAGTTTTTAAGAGGTGAATCATAACTGGTTACGGTAGCTAAGCACTAAAAATTCAATTTTCAAGTAAGTTTTGAAGCCCAAGCAAAAGTAATTCCGAATCAATTCGATCATTTGAGATCCGGAATGGTGTGAAGCTGCTAGATGTTCTCCCAGATCGCCAACCGGCAAATGCCAAAAAGCGGATTTGAGTTCATGTCAAGGAAGGGAGTGGAATGGCTGTATAGGATCGGTGAAGCGCGCGTAGGGAGGAGCAGCAGGATGAGGAGGAGGAGGAGGAGGAGGAGGTGGATTGGGTTGAGGGTATCGCCTTCAGCCTCCACCTCCTCCACCTCGTTTTCGTAGGACTGTATGCCGACCCAGCCCCCTCCCCGTCGGCTGCTGCTTTCAAAGCTTTCACTATCGAAGCCGGCGTGCCATTGAGAGATTACCCCGCTTTCGTCTGTTGTCTCCACTTTCCGGTCACAAGGTCACATCCAGCCCCCCGGGGGCAAATTACTACGGGGATGCGCGCGTTAGGCTGAGTGGAGGGAAGGAATGGTGGATCGAGGAACTGATTCTTTTTGGTTTGGGTGATGGTTGTGGCACGTGGTATCTTGTTGTTGGTGTACTGAGAAAAAAGCGACTGCTTATAATAGATTCCTTTATCCGGTTAATCCATCTTTTTAAAGACCGAGAGCGCCGTACCCTTCTCCATGCTCCAAATTTAAAATTTTACGCAAGCTTCCGCTTTTATACCCTTCTTTCCAGAGCGGTCTTGGCGAGCTAGATGAAACCAATCCAACAAACAGCAACTCCGCTTGGGATGACGCCGAAACCGATGACACCATGCTGGCAGAGGTACCTGATTTTTTCATTCTCTCCAACCTCACATTCAGCATAAACAACTAGCCCTCGAGCAAAAACGCAAGGCTCGGCTGGAAGAACACGAAAAACGAAACCGCGAAAAATTACAGCGCGGCCGCAACAATCAATTATCGATCTCGTAATTTATTTCCCCTTTGAGCTTCTACTTATTTGGTTGTGTTGACACCTGATGAAATCCCTCAAATAGCCATGCTTTTCGGTGCGCTTCACTTGAACTACTCAACCGATTATTTGCATAGTATACACTTAAATATTGGCTATCACCATTTTCAATTTCCTGTGATTCTCATTGAGACGTGTCGGTATTTTCTTTGTTAATAAAGGGTCCGATATATCAAGGAAATTGGTGGGTGGACGGAGGTGTGGATGGCTTCGCGAAGTTTCCCTTAGAAAGTGAGTGTTTGGGTCCGTGGTGGGCCCCAAGGAGCCGGCGGCAAATGATGAAAAGGCGGGGACTGGTCATACCGGACCAACATTCACACGCAGACAGTCGATCGGGATGGGACCATCCATCATGAAATGACCAGGAATCGGAAGGAGGTGCTGGAAAAACATTGTGCTGTTCCGGGTCGCGATGTTCAGGAACAAACTAGAAATATGTGCTGAATTGATACGAAAATATAGACAAAGTGTCTTGGAGTGACACAGACTGGTACTATGACAACCCAAGTTGGCTCCTAACAAAAATAAAAATACATTTAACAAAATAAGTTCATGGGTGCCTTGAAAAATCTAGGAGCTTCCAGTATATATCAAAATCGGCAAATACCTTGATTTCTTGAGTTTTATCCGGTAGTTTTAATGACGTACTTAGAAAACACATAAAGTGTCCTTGAAATAAGGTTATATATCAGTTTCGTATCAATTTCCGTCATCCTAAGTTATATACCAACATCGAGACATTAATTAGTGTACAAGTTCAACACTTTTTCTTATCATTATCAACCAAAGTTCAGAGATCTAGTTTCCTCGTCTCAAGACCCGGATCATCATCATCATCATCTACGGCGGCATCCGACCCGAAAACAGCTGTGTCTGAACTGTTTGTGCGCGACGGGTGCTCGATTCATCTGAAAGCAAATAAGAATCTGGTCGTGGCCATGCTATAAAGGCGGCGGACAGTGGCCCGGGCCCTCGTCGCCCACCATCACAGCCTACGGAGGACTGCCATGAGGACCGCGCTCGCCGCCCTTCTCATTCTTGTAAGGGCTTTTGGGTTATGGTATGGATTTCATTCAGAAAATCGCTCTCGCGGGGGATGCTTCCACTACAGTAGCCCCTGTGGCCGAGCCGCCGAAATTTACTACTGCCCAGCAATGTAAATGTTCGGTGTTGGACGAGTGTTCAACGGATTTCTTCACGAAACAGGCAGCTTGCAAGAGATCGTAGGTTTTGAAAGTTTATTGACAATAGGGTTGGAAGATAGCATTAAGGAATTTTTAACTCTTACCCTCTATGGGATTAGCATACTTGCTGATTTGCATGAACACCTTCTTGGTAAGGAAAAAAACGTTAAATTTAATTGTGAAAATGAAATTTTTTGCAAAAAATTGATCTATCGGCCTGTAGTTCCGGTCCGGTCTAGACTCATTAATATTCCTTGGCTATCCAAAAAATCAAAGTTTGGCACATACATGCAAATTATATCCATTTTCGTGTAATATCAATAGGCGCTTTTCAGTACTTTTCCCAAATATACGAGCTGCCAAAGTTAGGTCAAATTTCATAGTTTGCCTAGTCCCTATAGTCTCTCACTAAACAGTCTTTACCCCTAGATCCCTTCTACGGCCGCCCCCATTTTTCATGTACCTCTATTGGAGGCCCTTTACAACGGGATGATGGATTGTTCGGCCACTCTGACACCTAATTATGGCCGGTCCATGGCCCGGTCCCAGACCGATGGGCCCTCCCTTGCCCCCTCATTTAGCCGCAATTGTATTTACGGTCGGTTGAAGAGCGGCCAGGCTTCGCCCTCCCCCCTTGGACCAGCCGGCCTCCTTCTCCCCATTGAGGGTCTCAAAACAGAACCATTCTGGTATAAACGGCGCAGAAATTAGGCGCGAGCGTAAACAGTATACAGTGGACGGTTTTGGTGGATTGTTTATAGGCTTAAAATTGGGGCTTCAATGGAAACGGAGGTTAAAATGGAACTTTCTGACCTGTAACTCTACAAAACGTTACTCCAGATCCAAGACAGTAGTATCAGGTAGCACTAAACCTCGAGCTCATGCCTTGATAGCCACACAGAACCCGAATGTTGCAAAATTCAGGTTTTACCACCCCCTGCCTCCCATTTCAAAACCGATTCCATTACCTGGTAAGCCCTAGAAACGGGTACCCATCCTTTTCGTAGAGCCTTTTCCCCCCATCCTCCTTTTGCCGTTTCAATTATTCGGATTCACACCGTCCCAACCGGCCCCGGGCTCTGCGTCACACAGGCACACCCACAATACGCCCAAAACGAGCCGCCATTTCCCGCAAAATGGGCGCCTTTTCAAGCTGGGCAGATAGTATAGTGGAGATGGTCAGGCTGTGAGGGGGATGGGTAGCGTGACATTGTTTGGATGGGTTCAGGGATGTGTCAGATACTAGGTAATTGAGTATGCAAAATCATGCCCGGTATCGGGGTACTGTAATAGATCGTACCTAACGATATCTGGTGGATTTTAGAATCCCTATAGTCAATGCAAATGCTAAAAACCAACATTAACCTTACCATCCCGTCGGCCTTACGCAGTATAATACAAATTACCTTAAATTCAACTTTACAAATAATTTTGAATATCTTATTTCTAGCGACGAGTGCCTCAATATCCTCAAGAAAGTCGGAGATGCCAACAAAATCAAAGCCTGCCTCGATGTCGAGCACGCTACCGTCCACAAGGTCGAAGGCTGCGTCAAGAAGAAGGTCAACGGTGAACTCGGGTAAGCTTCCCTTGCTCCCTATTTTGCAACCCTCACCCCACCCAAAATTCCGTTGGTCCCCGAACCTCCAAAAGTCACCCGCCGAAATACCCGGCGACACGTTGACGTTATTTCACGGGCGGTGTGCCCAGGAGGGCGGGAGAAGAACGGGCCGTCGGGGCGGCAGGGGGGAGGCCGTTTCGTATTTTTTGAGAAGGGTGGGGGGCCCAGCGCTGGGGCCCTCCTGTGCGATGCGTAATGCAATTTCCCTGTAGCGTGCCCACGGAGGCACCCCCCGTGGGCCATTTCAGCTGAAGGTCCCCGAGATGTCGGGCCCCCCACACCCCATCTGACAGTGCGCCCCCCTTTCCTGGGCACGGCCACGAATGAAATTCGAGCTGGTCGGTGGGGGCCCAGGGGGCCCACACGGCACACATTGCTATCGGCTACAGGGAGATTGAAATGGCCCTCGCTCCCCATTCCCATGTATAAGCAAACACGCGAAAATACATTCCCAAGACGGATAGACCGCATGGCCTCTGGGGGCCCAAGGGCTGGGGTGGGCCCTATCTCTTCCATCGGGTCGTGGTGAAATTAAAAAAGAACACATTGCGCGCGAGTGAGGGGAATAGAGGGCCCTGGGGGTATATTGGATGGATATATGGATGGGGTGTTAAATGCAAATAGTATCCATCGTCGGTGGGTTTTTATTTGTTCAGGTGGGCTGTGCGCGGATAGTTTTAGTAATGTAATACTAACCAAAGGGTACTGTATTGACAGACTTCAGAGGTTTCAACATTTTACCTCATTGGCTGGGCTAAAAATTTTGCTTTGTTTAACTAAACGCTTTTGGGCAAAATGAGCTAAAATCAAATAGGCTACTGTATATTTTACGATTTTTTTTGTGTATGCTTCTGGCCGAATTAATATACAGTATCTAATTTGGGTAGCACTTATAGCATCAATTACGATACAGAATACGTCAATTACAATACAACCTTAACCCACCAAAACCCATTCCGCCCGCTTCCAGGGTTTGGTCCCTAGTTGAAATTTTCCACGCGACCGGCTGCGCACCCAATAGTTTACATTTGGAGGGCCCCCAAGGTTGTGGCCAGAAGCGGTGTGTCTGGCAGAGTCTGTTGGCGAGTAGTGTTTCTGTGTATGCGTCTGGTCCCCTAGGGGGCCATGTTTGACATCGTTCCTTATATCGTAGAAAGGGTGGGGTGGTGGGGGTCTGTAAGGGGGCCCATGGGGGTGAAGCCCGATGTGAGGGGGCCAGGTGCAGAGCCCATGGTGCCCTGGCGGGTGGCTTGTTTGTGCGGGCTCGTTACGGCTGGTAGGAGACGGTCGACCGGCTTTCAGGAACCTAGGCGACGAAATTGGGGAATCGAAAATGCTAGCATAAAAATTGTAGTAAAACAGGACGGGACTGGTGGCGTAGATCGATTTTCCAGACTTGCATGATTAAATTACGATACATGTCCTCATCTGTAGTTGTAGTTTGTAGCTCACGCATCGTTACCTTTTTCCATTGATACCTTTAAATATTTTAAGACCCCCCCCTTTCTGACTGTACACCCAAATTCCCATCCTTCCCTCCACCAAAACTTTAATTACCATCCTTGGCGGACCGCTGACTTTGCGCAATAAATTCATTCCCCTTCCCCTCCTGGCAGACCGATGGTTGGCCAGACCCGGCCAGAGCCCATGTTTGACATGGAAGCTAAAAGGGGACAGAGCCACCCCCGGAAAAGGGCCGTGGAAAGGGAGGGCGTAAGGGACGGGTCGTTTTGTAAGGGCTGTGGGGGCTTGTGGCCCTTGGGGGGCCCCCTAGGGCCAGAATCGATGCCGTTGAGCACACGGTCGGGTGACTGACAGCCCGTCCCGGGTCCCTGGGCCCGAATCGGAAGTGCCGAAATGGCTCATGGAGCTCCCCCATCCATACACACACATGCAGACGACCGCGTACACACACCACAGATGGAGGCAGACGCGGGAGGGGATAGGATTACTGTTAGGCATCGAAGGACAAACTGAATACGCGCAGACCGGCAGGCAACCATTAAATTTGATTATTTCAGATGCACGAACGATGCAGTGCCGAAGAACTTGACGATCCCGTTGATTCCGTTGATTGAAGCGCCGATGGGTGATGAAGGAGAGGAAGGAGCGACTGAGGTGTGTTATTGTGGTATGCTACGATATTATTGTTATTTTTTGGGATTTGCAACGATATTCGAGAAAGGGGCAAAAAATACTTTGAGGAAAGCTTTGTAAATTTAGCTGAAAAACATTTAAAATAGAATGAACTGTCAGCCGAAAGCCGAGCAGTGCTTTAGACGGTAAGGTCAGGATCAACAAAACCATTGAAGCTCTTAAAGATCCAAATTATCAGCGATCAGGGAAAACTTTGCGACTTGAGATTAGTTGGGGTTACTGTAGCTTTCTATTCCTAGAAAAATCACGGTTTTCAGCAAGCCAACCCTGCCCAAGGGCCTCCAGAATTGGGACGTTATGTGATGTGCGTTGATCAGTGTGCAATGGGAGAAGATGCCGAATTCACCGGAATTGGCCGACGCAAGAAGCGATCGGCTGTAAACTGTGCTTTCAAGCTCAAGTAAGACAGTTTCCAAGCATTTTGCAGCTATATAACACTTTGCTTCCAACTTCAGTCTTCCTTGCAACCGTTAGCTACTAGCCAGTACCCCTCAAAAACTTGTCCTCCGGTCCAAACCACGGAGTGGTTCTGGTGGTAGTGCCCAACGGGCCAGGGGCCCAATGTGTGTATGTGAGTCCCACGGGGCCCTTTCTCCCAGCGCAGTGGCGCGTGCTCTACATGCAAAATGTATGCCCCGTGCACAGAAGCCGGGCTTTTGCCCTCGGCGGGGCCCCGAATTCTACAGATTGGGTCTTTGGGCGGTGTTGGGATGGGGCCCCGTGCCCACTATCGGTTCTGTGTATGTGTGTGGGGAGGGAAGGGGCAATCAAGGAGAAGGGCTTGGGTTCCATTTGCGCGGGCGGCCCTTGTGCACAGGCAATTCCGTTCTCGGGCCGTGTGGGCCTTAGGGCCCGGGTGAGGACTGGCCATGTGTGTGTGAGGGGGGAAAGAGGGGGATGATACATCGGAGGGTTGAGGGAGGAGGGCCCATGACAGACAGGCCCTGCCTGCCTAACATCGGATGGGCCCTGGGGAGTTCTACGGGGCGGCCGATGTGTGGAAACGATATGGATGTGGGATGGCTTTTCGGTGTCGACCAGCCGGGCTGCTTGTACTTTGCTACAGGGGGGACCAGGTGTGAGGGTCGGGTGGGAAGGGTGGCTAGGGGCGCACTTTTTGTTGCTGGCAGGAGAACGAATCACACCCTCGTTCGAAATAAGGAAAGCGTACTGTATATTTTGAAAAAAGAATGAATTAGGAAGCTTAGGAAATTTGGCGTTTGCTCTCTTCTTCTTGGATTTAAGATATTCAATTTTCAAAGTACAGTAAGCTTCAGATCCAAGGTTAGAATGCCAAGAAAATCGGTTCAAGAGCTTTTTTTAGTTTATTAAACCTAGAGCAAAACATCGTCAAAATAATTTTTTTCCAATCAGCGGCGTATTGGGTGTACGGTATTTCTAAGGCTCGTTTTCTATCATTAGATCTAGCCTGAACTTAACTCTACCAAACTTAAAGCTTCCTAATTTTGTCAAAAATCGATCAACCCAACACAGAGCCGTTCGCCTGGACGCGCTGGAAAAGCTAAGACGCCAGAAGGGGGGCTTGTGCGGCAAGGGGTGGCTGTGACTGATAGATGGCAGTTCCCCCTTCAAGACACCCCCTTTTCTCAGCCCTCTTCTTCTTCTCACCACACACACGCGCGCACAATTATGGCCCTGATGCCGTTAGTCCCTCCTCAAGCTCCTTTCCTACGAAAGCCTCCCCTCTAGCTGAACCGTTCCTTGGCCCTCAGCGGCCCCTATTTCTCGCGGACCCCCCGGAAATCCGGCGTCCCTACGCCCTCCTCCCCCCGAAAGCGTGGCCCGGGGCCCGCTTCACCGTAATTATGCATCAGTTCACGTTAAATTATAGCCCCAATACCGGGTGTTGGGTTGGACGATGAAGGGGGCAGCTGGTACTCGGGTAGTGAACGGGGTCGTCGTGAGGTCCTGTTCGCTGTAAACCATCTGTACTTTTGGGAGGAAAGGGCTAGCAACTGTTCGCTCGATGTTTTTTGGAAAGTAAAGTAAGTAACTTGTAGGTTCAAAGAAATCTAGTTACTCGAAGGGTAGCGGCTAGACAGTACTCTTCTGGTTGGGCGAAGCTACATTACCAATATTAGTTGTTTAAGCGCAGGTTACTGTAATTTTCAAAATTTCCCAATTTGCCTGAATTTTTTTCTATTTAATTTTATCCTTGCCTATCTAACCTTATTTTCAGGTGCGCCCTCTCTCCTCCAGATGAGAAAATCCAGAAGGCGTTCCTCGACTGCGAGTCCGAGTTCGGGATCCAACCCCAGCAGAAAGTGCAAGAAAGCTGCGAGTGCCTAAAAGCCGCCGGCGTCGCCATCACTTGTCCCTAAACCAAAAGCCCTCAAAGACCATGGTTTTTCTGTACATATGCGCTAATAAATATTCAGCCCAATCCCGATCCGCGGCGCTGATAACTCGACTTGGCAAGGGTGGGGGGAGGGGTAAAGCGGTGCGAGATATCGGGTGGAGATACGTCGCCCCCGGGGGGCTGGGAACCGTAAGAAAGCGGATAATGGTGGCAGCTGGCAGCACAGGTGGCGGTCTGGCCTGGGTTGGAGGAGGCATCCACCACACCAAAGCCTCCAAACAGTCCGTGCCAGGCAGACCGGGCACATAGTCCGGAAACTGTACACCGGGCAGATAATTATGGGGTGGGCACACTATGGCATGATTTATCAAAAACTATCGAAAACAGAAAGTGAAGGCGTTAATTTTATAACTTAGCTGTTACAGTATCTTTAATAAGATAAATTTCAGGGATATCCGTCTCGATAAGAATTTCACGATCTTTTAATGGTCGACAAATCAGCAACGTAATCACGAACAGGGCTACCATACCTTTAAGAAAATTGAGGTTTTCTGTACTGAAAATTATAAGTTTTTTGGTGCGACCACATTTCCAACGTATTCCACCGAAGCAACATCTCGTATCCCTAACCTCTCCAGAAGCTTCTTTCCCCCCTTCCCCCACATCATAAAAACCATTCCCTATCCTCTGAAGCATGCACACACACTCCGGCTAGCTGATGGGGGGACCTCCCGCTTGGCCGTTATTAAGAATTCTGCCGGGAGGGAGCCTCGAAAAACAGCGTTCCCACCACCCTCCCTTCTAGCCAAAAGAACCGAAGTCGGGTGAAGCCCTTTCCATCCGGGACCTTACCCTACAGACCCCATCCGATCCACAACTTCCCGTCAACCCTCTACCCTCCCTAACCTCTTGGGCGGCTAATTGCGACCTCCGCGACCAGGGGCGCCCCCACGAAGACGAAGCCATGCCCGTGTCAAATTGAGGCAATCAGAAAACATTTGCCTGCCCCCCTTTAGCAGGTCCCTTTTCCATCTGAGACCCCCGGTTAGGGTAGGGCAGGGAGGAGCAGATCTTCTCCTCATTTGGTGACACGGCTTTCCGCCCGGCGCACCTGGCCTGTGGCAACCACGACGGCGCTATTCCCTGCTAAACGTCTTCATCCCAACTTTTTAGATGAGATGGCGACGAATACTACTGGTATTCGTGTTTTTGAAGTGGAAATTATTTTTTAGAAGTGGTAGTTCCGGATTCGGTTTGGCCTACAGGTCATCTGTACTTGCCGGCGTTGACGTTGGTTTTTGGTGGGTTTTTAGGAAATTTCAGAATCCTTTGAGTTCACAGGCGTTAGGTGATACAGTTCCAAATTTCCAGCTAAACAACCGGCAAAATAATCAGGTTAGGCCTTTAGAATGGTAATGAAGGGTTACGGTAGTTGTGAGAATGAAGCTGCGTACCATTCCAGGCGTACCATTCCACTTTTCCAGGTGTACCATTCCTCATCATCCTCGGTATCTGCCTAATCCAACGTCGCAACCGTCGTATCCAACAACTTCAAAGTGAAATGCTGCACAATCGGCGTCTTTCGACGTATGTGGCCCACAAATCCCCCCTTCCACCATCTCCCCCTCCCCCTCCCCCTCCTCCTCCAAGCTTTTCTTCAGCCTACTGAATGGCCCCGTGAGAGGCCTGTCCGGCCACTACCCCCAACGAAGGCCCGCAATTGTCCCGAAGCGATGGGGAAAGTGCCCCGTTGGCATCAAGGGTCTTTGTAGGCGCACGGCCTTCTCTCCCTTCACCCTCCCCGCTTCCACCCACCGCTTATTATTGTCTACCTCACCCCCATACTGCTAAGGCTCCTGGTTCGCCCGAGGCCCAGCAGCCACCGCCCACCCACCAAAAGTTTTTGTATCTTCTGGACGTCGCTTTGGGCAAACCCCCGCGGTTAGGCCCCACTCCGAGGGTTTTTGGAGACGTCGAAAACAGAGAGGGGCCTGAAGTGGCGGGCGACCAATCTCGGTCCTTTGTGTCCAGGACCCAACGGTTGTGCACAAGAGAAATTATCTCAAATTGGCAGACTGCCGGTGGTAGGGGGGAGAAGCCCTTTGTGCCCACCACCACCCCCAGTTCGCTTCTCAAAAAGGCTTGAGGTTCCAGCTAGTGCCCTGAACCGGTTCCAGCTCACTTCCTAAATTTCGGGATATATGGAGTATATCGTAGAAAGCGTTTCGTTCCCGGAAAATTAATTTCTCAACAGTTTCAGCCAATCCGGCAGCCTCTACGTGGGAGCTCGTGCTCGGACCTGATGACCCTGGGAAACCAGATGTTGGACTGTCAAGCTTGAATAAATGTATCTTGTATTCGTTTCTCAGGACCAAGATGATAGAAAACATATCAATACATGCCCACGAAAGCTCCCATCTTCCTTCTGGGTAGGATGTTGCTAAAAGCTAACGCAAACTCAGCTATTTACAGATTAGCATAATGTGTATTGTTAAGCTTGGTATTAATATCCTTGCCAACTCTATTAAACTGTATAAACTTCACTATAAATTACAAGGTTCCTAGTACTTTCGGCCAAGCTGACATTTTACTGTCATACAGTATACCGGACCATTATACAGGCATACAGTACACTACCGTACCAGGCACGGAAAGCCGCGCCCTTCTCACCACGCTCTCATATACCGTACGCCCACCGACAGCTAGCCGTATCGGGCCGGAAAGGGAGGGGAGAGAAGCGAGGGCCCGCTGGCAGTGCCGGGGAGGGTCACAAGGGACCCGCCCCTCCGATGGGACCGTCTTGTGGCCACAGTGCCCCGCCCCTACCCCCCAACCATCGGCTTCAACTTTGCCCCCAGGCCACACAGCCTCCTCCTGCCCAAACCCTCCTTGGGGCCCATGGTCCTAACGATCGACGACCCTGTTTTCGTCATACAGCCTTTGAGGACGATTTTTCTGACTGTCTTCGGTATTTGCGGGTGCTGCCTTCGATACTCCTTCAAAGAGGACTGACTTCGTGATTGTTACCTTCAAAATTGTATCATTTGCTGTTTAATTACATTGTAGTCAATGCTAAAAATTTTTGTATCTCTTGACAGTCAATTGAAACTATCGGTCGGCACGTAGCGGAAGTGTTGCAAATATCTTCTCAGTTTTTGTATTCGAAAACATTGCGTACTGTTAAGACGTCTTAATATTTTTCAATGGTTGCCAAAAATTAAAAAGACTCTAAAAATCCTGCGATTGCTTGACAGTTTTTATCAGCCGACAGTTCTTTCTTATTTTTCCCATACCTTACAGCTGGTATTTTCAAAACCCTTGATTTCCCCTCCAGTTTCGACACCGACTCCAACCAGACCTATCCAGTTTGTTGTCGCCTCAAAGACAGTCACCCAGATCTCCCTGACAACTTCAGTACAACCTCTAAAGCGCGGCTGCCCCGCACGGTTTTTGTATCTTGCACTATTCCCCAGAAAAGTAACGTGGGCATCTCTTCAGAATTTCATGCACTTTTAGGGTTAATAATTGCCAGTACTGATTCTGCAAAACTACTTTTGTATTAAAAATTTCAAATTCAAACAGTCCATAGTTCTCATCACTATCTCTGGCGCCCATTTATCAACCGACAGATGCGCATACAGGCCCTTCTCTCACGGACGGCGCGGTATCACCTCTCATTAATGCCGTAACCCGCCGGTATCTTGCCCTCAAGCTATCCTGTACTCTGTACTGTAGCTTTCGCGCGTACCCCAAATCGATAACTCGACCTGACCTTCCCAATCAGACAGTTCCCCATTCTCAAGAAACTCCTGAAAACCTCCCACTCTTGAAAAATGCTGCCTCCTACGCCTGATTTGGTCAGTTACTGTTACCAATTTATATAGTTATCTAAATACAATAGTGTCTTTATTAATCTTTTATGCAGTCTTAGATATATTGAATCATTTTATTCAGAGCCAAATGATGGTGGAAACCATGGAAAAGGGTCTCATTGACCTGAATGGTTTGACGACAATGCTCGGCTCGCCATCGGTTTCGACACACCCCTGCTCGCTGTGTTCGAAGTCGTTCCCGAATTCTAAACTTCTACAACAACACCAACAGACGTTTCACACGGACAAGGTTGGTAGTTATGGAATTTTCGCGCGTCTCTTGGTTTCATACAGTTATTATTCTCCTTCGAACCCTAACAATTCCGCGTTGTACATTGTGGGCCCCCGCTTTTCCTGCCCGCCGTCCTCAATACGGCCTAATGGTGTTGGTGTTGGTCGGGTCGGGTGGGTGCTGTGCGTCCCCAGTAGCATTATCCATTCACGCTGGCTCAGATAGAAGGACTGGGTGGTGGATATCTCAAACATATCTTGGACACTACCCTAAAATGGGTAGAAAATCGATGGGGTAGGAGGGTGGTGAATATCCCATTACCCGAATGGTAGGGAGGTATAGGGCGGGGAGAAGGGGCCATTATCCTCAGATCGGCTTTACTGTATTGGGGGCCAGAAGGCCCCAGCCTCTGTAATGAGAACTGACTGGTTGGAGGCCCTCTGCGCTCGCGGATGCATGCAAAATGACGACAGCTGCCACCCGGGGGTCGCTCCCGAGGTTCTGCTCCCCTCTTTGGGCCCTCTCTTGTCCTATCCTATCATCCGGGTAGACCATCATAATTAGGTGGACTAGGGCATCCTCCCGGAATGGGCCATCTGAATGGACTGTGTGCTAGTGAGGGGAAGATGAGCATCTATTCAATGGGGCGAGGAGGAGCAAATCAATGGTAGTGCTCAGGGTGGTAATAGTGATTTGCTAAGGAGGTAGATATGATATCTAATATATATTAAAAAATTTTATTCTTAGGGTAGTTAGACGGTTGTTATACAGTTCTATAGGCTTTTTGCCTTACCTTTGCTACGTAACCCAGCCCCACCCGCTATAGTACTTTTCGAAGCTAGATGATTATATTGCATAGTAACGTACGTTTTATACCGTTGTTAGTTAGATAGTTATATACAAGTATTAAGTTTTTCGCATTGCCTTCGCCTTCAAAAACGGCCCAATCCCCTAGTACCCTTTTTGCCGAATGCAAATGCAAAATATGGGAGGCCCTGTTGTGCGCATGACTAGTGAAAGCGGGTATAGAAGAGATGGAGGGCGGTCGACCACCGGGGCAATACGAGGGCCTCCTCCCCTTAGGGCCCTTACAGCTCGCGTGGGGCCCGCCGGGGCCCCTACCCCCACCCCCCCCTCCGATCGAGGGATGGACAGAAAGGGCTCCCCAAAAATCTCGGTCCTCACCCCCACGCCCACTCCTTACCCGACGTCGACGCAGAAACGGCCTCCGGCTCCCTAAGGCCCTTCCTCCTCCTTCTCTTCGGAGCCAAAACGTCCCTAGCCTGTCCGATGTGAGGAGGACTGGAAGGGGAGGGCTGCTGCTACCCCCTGCCAAACACAGCTTGTTTATGCCACGGCCCGCACACCGCGCCAGACACTAAGAATCTTGGCTTACCGGCCCGTCCGTTGCCCGCTTCTGCGCCCAAACTGGGCCGTACCAAAGGATTAACCGGGGTTTTGATGGAGAAGTTTGGATGGGTGACCGTTTTGAAGGGGGAAGGCACGGAGGAGCAGATGGCACAACGGAAATGGACGCGTTGGAAAGTGGGATGGGGAGAAGACAAAGACTAGTCCTGGCGAGAATTGAGGGATTAGCCTGTACTAATCTGGTCCTGTAAAAGGGTCCATCAGGGTTGTTCTAGGGATTCGGCAAATTTGATTCTAGACTTGAATACATAGGCTAGAAGAAGGTACGATAACTTCACACTTCCCCCACTTTCTCCGGCGCAAAATTGCATGAACCAACCGGGGACCGCTCATCGGCGCCGACACTGCGCATCTAATTTGCGCCCCAGGGCCTCGCCGCGGGAACTGAAGCAGTAGAGAGCTGTCTGTAGGGCGATGTCGATCCCGAGCTCGCGGCCCTTCGTCGGCCAAAATAATTGCTTCGGTGCCCCATGGCGGGCTTCGTTTAAGAGAGGGTGCTGTCGACGACCAAACAGAGCTCTTCCCTCACTCTCATCTCCAGTAGAGGAGTCTGTAGAGTGACACCCGAAAGGGAAGGCGACTCTCGACGACGAAGAGGAGGAGGCCAATTAATTGGCTTATGCCAACCGCCTGGCTAAGAAGGGGGGAGGATACAGGGGGGTGGACGGCTGTGAGGGTCCCGGGGAGGTCACTAATTAGGCAAAAAGGCGCCGGGATCAGCTGGCCAGCGGTTTCAAGGAAAAGCATGAATACGGTGTATAGACGAGGGGGTGTGAATTGATGATGATATAGTCTAGTGTCTTGTTGATATATGTGAGGTGTAGCATATACAAACCCCTAATTTTGGGCAGAATTTAAGATTCTGAACGATCATAACGTCGCTCCCATTCATTATTATAAAGATGTTCGGTCTTGAATTATCATTTGCTCCGGACACGCCACCTTTTCCCCATGCGCAAATTTGATGTAGACCCGTCTGCACTCCCCACATTCATCAAAAATTCATCCCAAAATATACGTTGTTTTCCAGGCATTCGTGTGCGAGATTTGCGGGAAGGCGTTCCGCTTTCGGTCGAACCTCGCCGAGCACCGCTCCGTCCACACCGCCCTAAAGCCCTTCGTCTGCCGATACTGCGGCAAATCCTCCCGCCTCAAAGGTACTTAACTTTTCTTTCGTGCCTTGCCATACAACGAACGGCCTTACATACTAAAGAACGGAGCCTGACATTTCACGATTTCTTTATTCTAGGCAACCTGACCAAGCACATCCTCAAGCACCACAAGAAAGAGCAAAACGAGCAGATTGGCAAAAATGACATCATCATTAAAAAGGTGAGTGAGCGGTTATTTTTTAGTCCTGGAATGCTTTCGTTGCTTCTCTCTAACAGTAACACGTTCAAAAACCATGAACCCTTTCTTCTACCACACCCCCACACACACCGTCCTCCATCCACTCATTTTATTTGTTTTCTTTTGTTGAGCGCCGGGTATTTCACCAAACAAAAACACCGAAACATGCGGATAAGGGTGTTACGAAATTGGTCGACATCGTCTCCCAACCGCCCCACATTCGACGAATGTTTAGGGCAAAAAATCGGTGAAAGACCCGGCCGCTGTCGACTTTCTGGAAAAGTCCATGTTCGTTATCGGGCCCACCAAGGTATCGCGTGTCGTCTGTGTTTTCTTAGTTCCTTTGTGGGCTTCATGGGTGGCTAGCGGAAAATGATAGTTTAGAGCTTGACAATTTTTATATGAGCGTTTTAGGGAGCTCCTCCTCAAGAGGTGCCCGTATCTTTGTTGCCGAAGGCTGAACCGGAAACGCCAAACTGTGGAAAGTGAGTCATTTTTGGGTTTTTTTTAATGGGGATCTCTATTATTTATTTGATCTGATTTTTCCATCCAAACGGCTTTTTGCATTCAATATAATCAGCCTCTTGACCCCTTATCCACTTATTTTTGCTAAATACCCTTTCCTAATTGTTGGTTTTACTATCGAATACCCTGTAGACCGATCCTTACAAATGAGCCTCCGCCTTGAAAACCTAGCATCTAAGACCCCTTTCATGGCATCTACGGCTCTGCGTGTAGAATGGGCCCCCCTAGTTGGTCTGCTGACAGGCCTTCCTGTCCAATGTGAAGGAGGCGGCTGATCTCATTTGCGCGAGCCCTATCCGAGCATCTCTTAGGCGGCTAGCCATGACTGGCTGGCCACTCTCTGGCTTCCCATTAGCCATGTTGTAGCACGTAGAATCCGGGGGTCGGTCAGTACCTCGGTGAAAATTCTTGAAAATAATTAGAGTACATCTGGCTGCCCAATGTAGTGAAAAGGCACCTTCAAGGTGCACTTGGTCAAGATGTCGAATCTGTGCTCTTTTTCGCAGCTTAATTTTGTGCTTTAAACAACTAACGATTGATATTGCTAAATCAGTGTTGACTGAAAAATACAAATAGGCATCTGCCTGGACTCTGCGGTAGGTCTACATTCATTGCAATTAGTTTGACAATAGTTTTCGTAAAAATAGTTCTAAATAAAGCATAGTTCTTCCTACCATCCTTACATTTTGATCTTGTAGACTGATTTTTATCCGCTCTACCTAATCGTCCATACGGCTTCACAACCGTTTTCCCTCATCCCTGACCCTTCCGACCAAAATCCTAGCCACACCCACTGGAAACCCTTCACGCCCTGTCTACCATAACGTTTATGACAAAAATGGGCTGTCCCCCCGTAATTAGGCCCCTTTCTGTCAGGGAGCCGGTGGACCCATCGGCTAGGCTCATTACCGGATTAATCCCGAAACGACCGCTTTCGGGTCGGGACCGATCTGTGAAGAGATCCCGCCGGTCAACCCTGGGCCCATATAGCTTATCCTGTTAATTAGGAGGAATGGGTGAAAAGGAATCTGAAAAGTGTTTATCAAGGTTTATTTCAGGGCCTTCTTCGTCTCGTTCGGCTTTGACCAGAGTAGTATGGACTTGACAGATTCGCACGATGAGAATGGAATGGACAGCCCTGAAGGTTGGTTCAAGTTTGATTTTTATGTATTTTTGGGAATGGGCCTCAAAATGGCTTAATCTATACCCTACTTCCAAATTGCTGTCCAATTCCCCGGCTATACAGTCCAAATTGCGACCCATAAAGTGCACGGTCCTGCCATTTCCAATTTCCGGTGGACCCAGAGTGGCCACTCTCCAACCGGCCAGCTTTCATAATTCATTGTACCGGCCCGGCGGTGGGACCCCGTCCATTTCCCCCAAACACCACCATGACGACCGACAGTAACGGGGCACCCGCTGTTTAGACCCCCCCCCCCCTTTGGCTGTCACCACCGAAATGGCCAACACGCTCCCACAAGATTAGTGCGGGGACCAATTGCATATTCGGCCCAGTAGCCGATTCGGACGGCACCCGCGGGTGTGAGACCCTTCAAACACAAAAACCAATGAATCCCCTGTAAATACGGGAGGGAGACTACACATTGAATAGCCGGTGGGTATCCCGTTGTATTGTTTCCGGCGACAGTTGCCGGGACGGATTATCGCGTCTGCCAACCACCACCCGTGGCGGCTTTCCCACGGAAGCCATACCTTTCTTTGATACAGTGCCCATCGCGCAATTTATTTGGCTGGGAATCTCGGGGGTCTGGCTGGCATGTCCGGAAAAGGAATGGCTGAAATAGTGGTAATTGTGAATTTTTAGATACCTCCTCCGTGACGGACTCGATTCTGTTGAAGCAGGAAATGGACAGTGATGCATCACCAAACAGTCCGCAAAACCATCACTCAACGGTATGCGAAGGTTTTTCGGTTGGTAAATTGGATTGTTGGTTAGCAAGTATGCTTAATATTACACTTACTGGGTAATTAGTGCAATGATTTTTAATTTTAATTTTAATTTTTTTACAGATTGGCGGTGCTGCTGGATTGAACGCTTTGCTGGCCAGCGTCTCCTGTACACCCCCACCTCGTGAAAAGACCGAGTCACCATCAGTTACTGCAAGCATTTCACCACCTGCATCTCTACCAAAATACGATGGGACGCAGTGTCACGAGTGCGGCAAACACTTCCGAAAAGGTACTTTTTCTATTTTTGTTGAAAAGTTTTTCCCCGGCCATCGCCCCCATAGGTCCCCCTAATTACCACCAGGCTTCCCCTCCTTACAGTCGCGGGGAAATCACACACCCATATTGTAGCCATGGTCCCGCGAGGCAAGATATGGTCACCCCCTCTTCTCTCAATTCTGTACCTGATCCTTGTCACTCCATTCTCAGCCTCACACCGGTTTTGGGAGGCTGCTGAAAAACAAACGCCTGATCTCCTTCCGCCCCTCCCCACCTGAAAATATTTTTGTAGAAGCCGTCCTGGCGGTAGGCATGGAAAATGGGCCGAGTCGGGGGGATATTGCTACTGCCCGAACCGGGGGACCGTATCCATGGTGCTGCGCGACACCGGGAAAAATATTCTCTCCGCCTCACGTTTTTACGCGACCCATTCCCCGGCTGTGGGCCATTGGCCGTACAGGGGGAGAATTCGGGAAATAAACAATTCAACGGATTAGCCGTACCCAGAGAGATATTATTGCCCATCAGAAAATGTGTAGTTGATGGGGCTGACGCTCACTAATCTTATTTCACAACCCGAGACCGGTGATACTGTAATGGGGGTGTGGGTCCTGGGGAGAGGGGCTGAGTCATTTTTCTGCCCCCGGCTGGAACGAGTTTCGCAAGTAGCACCCTGAACCCCCACCGGAATTTGAGAAGAAGCGCCCCATTGCAACGCGAGCATAGCATCCAGGGGTCACGAATAGTAATTACCCACCCGAATAACCGATACAACGCCGAACTCTTACCGAGAATTCGACAGAAGCGGTGCCGCCCCGGTACAATTAGCGGCACATGTGAGAGAAGGAGCCCAGCCCAAACACTCTGCATCCCTCCTTCAAGGCCCAATATTGGAGCCGGAGAGCCGGGATTTGACAGAGCCAATTAGGGGAACTCGGAGGGGAAAGGAGGCTAGGGAGCGCGCGCGCGCGAATCTTCTCCTTCATGAATAGTGATGTATGCAAATGGCTCCTGGGGGGTCGTCTATCTAGCCGTGTATGGCCATCGAAATACAACAGCAATCTATCTTTGGGGTTAGCGGGGGGGGGGATCGGAGTTGAGGAATACGTAGTTCAGGTATTTGAGGACTACAGTCTAATTAACATATCTCAAGGGTAAAAAATCAACGCTAAAACGCCAGGTTTATCGGTGAAAGGGATCTATTCTTCTATCTCCAATGCAATTGTCGTTTTTTATGAAAAGGTTTCGAGGTCGTGTCTTTTAGATGGAATTTATTGCAAGCTAAGGTTACCAAGTGTTTAAAACCAAACCTAAAATCGTCACTCGAAACTTTCAACCCGTTAACCTGTGTATGTGTGTGGCTGTTGTTTTGGCCATCCCACAGCGGTAAGGACCCCCATGTGGCCCGGCCGGAGACAGTCGCGTGTTTGTCGGTATGTCTGTCTGTGTGATGGTGATGGTGGTGCTGTGAGTGTGTGGAGGGGGCAAGATATGCGGCAACTGTCGCATTGTCTGTCAGCTAAGGCTTGTCTTTACGATTGAAAGCGGGCATTACAGTCAGCAGGGTTGAGGGCACAGCGGCTGCCCCCCGGTCAGAGCCCGAAGCACGAGCCAGGGAGGGTCGTTTCGGGATATGGGGGGAGATACTTTCCTGTCAGTTCGCAGGAATCGGAAAGTAGTGGATATGAAGGGGGATAGGTCACGGGATCGCGCGGAATATTTTATAGGGCCCTGGGGGGGTGGTGTTGGCAGATAGGTAGTCATGGAAAGTACAGCTCCGGAAAGGATTTTGAGGGATAGGAGTGAAATTTGGGTTTTGTAGCTAACCGTATTTTCGAGATTGACATAAATTACAGTTGGGTTAAACATTAAATTTGGTGTTTCTTCTTCCATCCTTCTGCTCTTGCTAATAAATTACACAGCACCAGATGACTGTAGCCTCCTAGCTCGGCCTCCACTGGCCAAAAGGTCAACCCGTACAGTACGCACAACCCCAAAATCCGCAGTAACTGTCAACCTCACCTCAGACATTGATGTCCTTGCATGTGGCCCCCACTCCCTGCTACTTCAAACGGTACCGATTGACGCGAGCACGCACATATGTGGCCCGGTGGCTGAAAAGAAAAGCCCGCTGTGGATGCCACAGAGCCCACAAGCTGTGTACGAGGTTTACAGTGGGCACAGGCTGCCCCCGTCCTCACTGCCTACCCCCCCCGAACCCCTTCTTCCATCGTTACTATATATCCCGTTGGGCCCTGTGCCTTGAGGCCCTTTGAGGCTTTCCCCCTCTCTTCGACTTGGCAGTCGATAGCCGGAGCCTCTAAACCGTCCACCCGACGGCCCAGAGGGAGGCCCTGGGAATGGCCACTTTTTGTGCCGGTAGAGTCCAGTGCGTCCGGGTGGAAGAACCGGTGGCCTACCCAACCAACAGGGGGGATTGATTTTGGGGAACGGCCCGACACCGGTGGGAACTGACTTGGGACCGATTAATTTTGAGATTTGGTGGGAGCTTCTGTAGACATTTGAAGAAGTGCTCGAATACAAATTGTGGGGGTTGGCCGGTTGCGTGTGGCTGGAAAATGAAGAAATGTTGGCTTGTCCGACGCTGGGAAGCGTATTTTTCAAGTATTAGAGGAGTATTAAGATAAAGCGCCAGCGTGGATTAGGGCTAGCTACCGAAATGTTCAGCTATTTTCTTTCGACAATACGACTGAATTCGTTTGCTTTTTTTTACAAAAAATTAATTTACCATAGATTTTCCTTGCTCTTACAATCTGTAAACAACCAAAAAAAATCGACCTCGCCGCCGACCCCATGAATCAAATTACTATACATTCCCCCATCCCAACTCCGTGGAACTGAAGAACGGCCCCCCAGATCACCCCCTAAAACCGTCCGCGTCTGCTCGGAATGGCGCTTTTTGAGCCGCTCTCCTCCGCTACTCCTCACTGACTCCATCCTGTCCCCTTCTCTCCCTCGTTCAAGTAGTTCCCCCTCCTCCCGGACCATCACTTTTTGAGCCAAAAGCCCCGCGCCGACTCAGGAGAAGAAATCGTGCGACTCGGGCCGAAACCTTTAGCATTCTCAACCTCCTTCGGGCCCTCCTCTACCCCCTACTACCACGAAATTCCGCATAGTTGATGAGGCTGACAGATGTTGGCCCGGGGGATACCAGAGTCGAGAGCCGGGGAAAGGGATGGCCTCGACGTCGGGTTCTATGGGAACGGATTTATTTGACCGAGTGGCAACGAATGTCTTTCCAGGATCGCAGCTGAAGAACCACCTCCTCCTCTTCCATGGGTTCCCCGGCCTTGAGAAGTCTGCCAATGAGATGAAGCCCGAGCCGGAGGGGATGAGTGATCCGGGCAGTGGAAGTGCAAAGGATTCGAGTATTTTCTCTGATGTGAGTAATGCAAATTTGGTGATCGAATTCGAAGAACGGAAGTTGTTCAAACGAAAATAATGCAAAAGGTACAGATTCCTATTTCCTTTTTCTAGGTGGTACATGAGCCAACAGTCGGCGAAGTGGCAGCCATGCAAAACGACATCCGCACCATCAAAAATGCCGTCTCCGATATCCGACACGAGATGCGAACCCATAAGCCCGAGCCGAGCAACACCCTCGAGACGCGGGTCAGCCGAATGGAGAAGCAGATCGAGATGGCGCTCAACAGCATCTACACCCTTGTCCAATTACAAACCGGTTAGTTTTGAGAATTCAAAAAATCTAAATTTTCCAAAAATACCCATATCAAACTTTACTTTCTAGGTATCACCTCGTCAATCACTAAATTCCGCGAAAGTATGGAAAGTGACATGTTGGATCTCAAAAACTGCCGGTGTCGCCAAGAAGAAAATTGATCTTCACGAATCCACGATTTTTGCATTATATTTATCGTACCCGTCTTGATAGCCCATGGTAGCTATGTGTGATGCCCGGACAAATTGTCTCATTGTTCGTTTGTTTTTCATACCTTTTTGTGTCGCCCAAGAATTCTAAGTTGCCATACGAATAGCCACGCTATTAGCATTGATCTTTCCACATACACGAAACGCTGAGTTCTAGTCATGGTGTACAAAAGTGTTCTTCGTTTTTTCATTATCATTTTCCCACTCTCGTCTCGTCATCAAAACCCGTGCTACCAAAGAATGTCTCTAATCTCCGATACCATATGATCTGATCCGTGTCATAATACCGTCGCCAAGCGGAATATTGCCATATTTCTCATCACCATTGATCTGTCAACCATTTTGATATTGCCAAAAACTATGCCCTTGTGCCCGATCTCGTTTGTTCCATTGATCAAAACACTGTGTCATTTTTGTGTGTGAATTATTAGTTCTCCCCTCTCATTTGATGTGTCATCTTTATAGTTGGGTGCATAAACGTGAAATTTGAAAATTTATTGCCTAAAAATGCAGCGAATACAGAGATTAATGTTTTAGCTGCTTCAACCACTGTTTGAATTCATATTCTGGATTTGTCTCTCCGATGGTATAGCTACAAAAAAATATTGGCTGAATCCCTTACGGCAATTTATTTAATACCTGGCATTATACGGGCGACCATGCTCACCAGCGCTTGTATACAATTCAATGTGGGCCGTGGCTCCCTGGAATGTTTCATATGGAATACAAAATTCAGGTCAAACCTCAAAAATTTCAGGCTTTACATCACGAACGGAGTACATCCAAGCGTTGATGACAGTTCCGTCTTCTAACTCGATCTAAAATGGTTTAATTTAACACAATTAGAAAATATTGGGGGTTGTAGAGATGCTATAAAACGTTGATTATCCAAACCTGTTCGATTTCTCGACGATAGTCATCCGGGTGACATTCCAATTTATCCAATTCCGCCAGTTTCACGTCATTAACTTGATATACTTCCCCATGGATTCTCTATAAGTGCTATTTTTTTGGTTTATACAGAGAGGTTCCTAACCAATAGGTTTCTAGCATTAAATTTAGAAAAATTTGTTAATAAATCAAAAAGATAAGCGTTATTCTTACATGTCCATTTCCACGATCAAAAATAACCATCGGCACATTAAATGGAGAAGCAATGATGAGAGGATATGTATGCAAAGTTCGACCTTTTCCTGTTTAATTTTATGTCAAAAAAATTCCAAAATCTACCAATGCTGGAATAAATCCCGTCAGTCTCGCTCATCACATGAAAATTCGGTTCCCCAGATTTCAGCGTACCATATACGAAAACCTATAAAAAGTGTGCTCAAAATTATAGCTGAACGCGGAAATACCTGATGCGGAAGATGCATAGCAAAATTATAGGTTCCAAATCGGCTGAGCGCTGGGGGATCTGTCTTATCAATTGGATGCACATGACGGCTGCCCGCAAAATGTCACCCTGCCCCCATAGAACCTTTTTTCTTTTGAAGAAAGGGCCAAAGAGTGTGCGGGTGGTGCGTTTTCGGTTAGTCATCGGCCCCTTTAAAAGGCTGTTCAGATAGGGGAACGCCAGTCCTCGCAACATTGCTTTAGCTTCACAAGACTTGGAAGACTACTGTGTTCCCGAAGTTTAAAAAGCAAAATAAAATAATTTTCCTTGAGGTTTTGGAATTTTCGGAAAAAGGCTTCGTAGGCTTTTTTTTGGCTCATGCATAGAGAATTATGCGAATAACAATGAATCATGGGTTGCTTATCATTTGGAAAAGTTGGGTAAGTGAAGGGAAAAATGGCTAAACGAAAGTGTTGCTGCCGATAAAATTTTAGTGGCTTCACAATTTTGAAGGAAATGCAAGAATTAACGCATAGATAAGCTATACTTAAAGCGAGGATGACAGCCAAGCAAAGATAGTAAAGGAAACCTTATGTCTAATCATATTTATGATTATTTGTTCGGCTTCTCAGTTATTTTAGGTGTCTCCATTGGCCTAGAGGTATCCTAGACTTGCACCAAATTCCCTACCATTAATGCTCAAGCGCTTAGATATCTTAACTTTAGTTTTTAGAAGTTAGAATGCCCTATACCACTCTCGATTTTCCACAACGATCAATCACTCTCGGGCCATACACCCAATCCATTAGCCATCCGATGACCCCAAGTGGCCAGCCGGTCATTGATACCACAAATGGTTCCCGGCTGTTAGGCCCCTATCCCCCAGGTGCTCTGTTTGTCAGTATGTATGTCGCTCTGTCCGTCTGTGCTTGTGTCTATACCTCCATTCCTGACTGTTTGCACGAGCTGTTTTGCTAGTGGTGCGCTGCCCTGTGGTGCACCAATTGGGGGGTTTGGAGAGGGTGGAGGAAGAGGAGGAAGAGGTGGAGAAGGGGTTGCAGAATGGTCGGCCTCTACCTTCCAAATATGCGCGCTCTGCGCGAAGGGGTGCCTCTGTCACCTGGATACCCCAACCCATACCCCCCAATAACCTCGACCGCCCATACCCCCCCTCTACGAGCCACTCTCATATCTATCCCCTTTCTAGATAACCCTATTTTTCGTCATTCTTATCGTAATCGGATTCTTTTACCCGCGAGGATTCTCAGATGGGTGTTTTTTCTGCCTGATACAGTATTCGTGTCCTTCTATGTCTTTAATGCGTTCTTTTCTTGAATTTTTACAGATCCCAATTCTGCTTTTTTTGTTTTCTCATTGATGGTTCCTCTTCCCTAATAGAGGCCATCGTGCTACGCCATCAAATATTGCGAGTATGCTTTCCTAAATGGTTTATTTATGCTTTTATAGATGCGTTCATTAAGCCTTGGATCTCTAACCTAGGGAAAATTAGCTTACTCGATTCTACACTGTATGCATTCTTTTTTAGATGTTTGTACACCCTGTATTTTCGTTACGTTATATAATTACATTTTTAAAAAATCGAGTAACTAAATATTCGATAAATACTAACTTAATCATGGTTTAGTTTGTAGTTCCTTTGGGATTCTGCTGGCTGCAATTTTCGATAAAGCCATCTGGTCCTGTTGCAAAGGTTGCTGCTCCTAGCCCAACCTAGCTTAATCCCCCCGCGCCCTCGATTGAAATCCGGTGCATTTCGGCCTCGGGGCGCGCACTACGGCCTAATGAGCCGGTGTGAGGTCGGGTTGTGGCGGCAGTGGTGGTGGTAGTAGTGAATAGTGGCAGCCGGTCTCCCTAACTAATCCTTCCAATGTTCATTGCCCAGAATGGTGTGGGCGTCGAAGCGTGGGATGATGCCCACCTCTTCCTCTCCTTACTCCTTCTCCACCTCCCTGCCCTTGTATTCCCCCGTTGATGGTATTCCCCCCATCGGGCGGTCAATGCGAATAAGATGAGTCAGCGTTACCCTGGAGGGCATCGATCCATCTTTCTCTCTTTCCAGCTCGGGATCTATCGCTTATCGGCCCCCTTGTTTGGCATCAAACAAGCTTGTGGGGGCCCGGTGTGCAGCAGGAGGGGGAGAAGGCGGGACCAGCCGGCCTTTCCGGACGCCAAAAACTCACTAAACTGTACGAATTAGTCAGAAAGTTTAGCACTTTTTGCAGGACTGTTACTTTAGCTGATATGATTACTTCATTATTTTAACGAGGACGAAAAGCTGAACTTTGAGCCTGTAGGCACTAGATTCTCCTTCTGTGTATTATAGTTATGGCAGCGTATTCCGAATGATTTTTCTCTATTTTCTGTGGTCCGTGAAAATAATTTCCGCCTGTTATTTATAGAAAAGTCACCTTTAAGCAACTACTCTGAATAGGATTCGATCGATTTTATTGGCAAAACCCCAGTAATTTCTTCGTTTTTCCAGCTTTCCAAACCATTATCGGATTTCCCGGTTGCATCCCTCAAACCCCCCAAATTAGCATTTTGACAAGTTTCATCTCAGAAACTTTGTGTGAACAGATGCAAATAAGAACGGAAGCTTGCAGCCAACTTTCCATATTTAGGAAAATGCTTTCCATTTCCTGTGCGCTACACTGACTCATTCCGGGCCGTCGTCGTGGGGGTGGGGGGGGGCGTTTCACGATTCCGTTATAGTACTTGGGACGCGTTCTCCTCCAAAACCCATGCATTTCGCCGCCCTTCATCGATATTCGAGGCGAGAACGTTTCTCTTGAGGGTGGCTGGGGGAGAGCTCGATTGGCCTGTCAACGTATTGAATTGTTCACCTTCGACTGGCTAGTTGAGGGGGCAGACTAGTTGTTTTCAGCACGTCCTGACCTCGATTTACCGATTTACATATAATGTTTTTCGCAATGCAGTACTGTACGCAACTTTTATAGCTATAAATATCCGGTTTTTAACCTAACGTCATGATCATTTAAAGGGAGTCTGACAGCTGCTTAGTCGAACTATTTGCGTTGCCTCGGTATTTAAGTGGTTTTTTCGTGCTTTTCGAGAGATACCCTTTAATGCCGTTTATCTTATTGATTTCGTACAATGTTGTTTATTCACTAAATTTCCACTTCGATGACCAGTGCGCCATTTGATAAATTTTGCATCAAAAATTCCTAACATTTACCCATATTTATGGATTCCCGACAAAAACCCAGACCCCCCATACGGAATAAGGTAGCGATTTGCATCTTTTTGCAAGGGTTGTTTTCGTGCGCCATGCCCACAATCCTTCCTCCTCCCTTCGCTTCACTAGTCCGACTCCGACCTTCCTCGAATGGCTTCCCGCAACCGGTCGTCCAGTCCTGCGAGTTTCACAAAAAGCCATTTGTTAAGCGATTTCGGCAGGCAGGCGGAATTTCTCGTAGTTCACATGCCTTTCCACACTCCACCTTTTGATCCTCTTGTCTGTTCCGATTTCTTAAGTTGATTGTTTGGGAATAGCAGTTTTCCATAATTTTTCCAAACCCAATTTCAGTTCCAAAATGAATGCCGGTGAGCTGGACCGGCTGCCGATGGCCGGGGTTTTTCAGTCTATTAATGCGTTTACGGTGTCAGGTATCGAGTCTCTACAGAAATCCAAAATTCCGTTTTTGTTACAGATGAAGGCCGTACTGCCTATTTCCATGACCCCCAATCCGATCTAGTCTATGCGGTCAATCTAGTCAACGGTCAAAGAAAAGCGTTAAAATGGTATGAAACTTTTTTCTGCCATTTTAAAAAATTTTCTAGGGAGGATAGAGACTTCAAACATCGGCGCTGGCTTTGCTATACGTTGTTCCACTTTAATTGCTTACGAGACCAATATTTGTCGATGCTGTTCTACAATAAACATAAAAAAGTAAGAGATCTCGTAGTAAGAAATATCAAAAAAATTTAGGTGTTCTGTCTAATTCATTTCCTAATCGCCGATGAGCTATTAATCAAAAGGCAAACAACAATGCTGAATACCTCGGCGATTACTCATGATCGGTTGGCGTATTCGGTACAGAAATGCGGGAAAGAGATTCAAGTAAATTTCATCCAATAAGACAAATTATTTTTATTTATTTCAGATGATTTTCTACGAGCGATTCTCTCGTGCTCACGCCGAGACAGATGAAAATCAGGCGCCTCTCCATTTTGTTTATTGTTCGATGGATACAGCAACAATGAGGGTGGCCACAAAAGAGGGAATGCTGCCAAATGGGCAATGGGAGTTGCCGTTTATTACGAATCGGGTGGGTTTTAACGTCGAATGAAGCAATATGTTTGTATCAGTTATTGTAGCGTGATTTAGAAACTTCATGTCCTCTGCACAACAAGGACTCCGAATATTCTGGCTTCGAGGAGTTTGGATTCTAATGAAACGCTGTGGGATGCTAGGGCAATAGCGCCAGCTTTCAATGATCAGACGCCAGCGAAAAAGGGTAATTTTTGGTATTGCACTGTAAGGCTTCTATATGCAAATCATAAGCATAAAATCTCTTATTAACTTGCAAAAATTGCTTTATTCTATGATTTGCAGCTCAATGGTGTAACGCCTGGAATCAAGAAGCTGGATACTTTGCTCTTCTAGAAAAAGTGAGTAATGATGACGAAGATCATTCTCAATTTTTCTAGATCTTGGTCGATGAACAAAACAGTGATGAAGTCCAACGCCGTGTCTCCCTGTGGCATTTGGATGCTTCTTCGGCCAGTTGGACGAAACTCCCCTGTCAACACGACCTCCCGGAACAAGCATCTAACATCTCTTTCCGAATATCACCCGATAGTACCGGATACATCCATTGCGATTTGTCGCCCAGAGATACGATTATCCTGAAGGTGAAGCTCAGCGTCGCATTGGTAAGGCCAACAAAAATATACGTCAACTAATATATATTTTAGAACAATGCTTCACGGGTACTAGCTGAAGCCGAAGCGGATGAATGGGTGGCGCTTGAACCTGCTGAAAACGGGGTATCTGCATCAACATCGCGGTAGTTTACCTCAAACTTTATTAATTTTGTATGCTTAGTGAACCCCTCGCGGATTTGATATGTCCTATCTGTTTGGATACCTATGATGATGCCAGGACGTTAAGCTGTGGCCATTCTCTATGCTGGGGGTGCGTAGAGCAGATGCGACTTGTCGGTACCGTACTCCCACTCACCCCGGAATTTACATTTTTTTAGCAAAAAGCGAGACCGTAGCTTGTCCGGCTTGCAGGAAGCTTACGAAGATTCCTGCCGGTGGCTTGCCAGTTAATTATGGATTGAAAGGTAGTCATAAACTATATAAACTTCCAAAAAAATTTCCAAGATGCTATTACTACCTTAAATCGCCTCGTTGACATCCGAACCAATGGCCTGAAATGCGCAGAATGCAAAGACAAATTTGACGAGCAAAAACTATGGACGTGCCTGACTTGTGTAAAAGATGGAAACAAGGTAAGAGGCCAATACAATATTTACAAAATTACTTAATTAGAAGAAAAATCGGGAATCTATGGTATATGTTGGAAATGTGGACGCCAGTACTGGAGATGAGGATAGCTTCCAAGAACCGCCAAAGCAGGTAACATTAATAGGTAAATCTCGGATACGCTTACTTAGGACGAATTGCTTGATCGCTTCAAAAAGACGTCGTACTGTGGTGCCTGCCTATTGTACTTCCATCGAGGACATGACTACGAGGAAATTTTGAAATTACGGTATGGGATTGCTTGCTCGGTCTAGCTATTTTTTTCTAGGGAGCGAAAGAAACATGCTGATGAGTTGAAGCGGAAATGGCTTTCAAAGGCTAGTCATGAAATTGCCGCGATGAAAGCTACCATAGCCACAAAGACGAATAGTTTATTGGACCAGGTAGCATAATACAAAGAAAACTATAAATTTTATGAAATTTAGGCGGTCCTAGCCAATTTCCACGCAAAACTTGAAGAAATTTGTGACGTCGCCTCGAACACGTCGGATCGAATTGAACAGCGAGGAGAACAAGCTGTCAAGAAGCTTGAATCTATCCACGAGAAGTTTGTGCAAGACTTTGAAGTCTGTGTGGAGGTAAGGTTTCTTCGGGGATATTTGAGCTTTGTTTAGGACTTTTTGGAAAAGTGCCTCGCATCTATGCAAACACCTGTGGAGTCAGCACAATCTTCTCCAATATCCTCAAAAAGCATTGAGACCCCGATAATGGAACCTGCGGTTGTAAAAACATCTCCTAAATACGAGCGAGTTTGCTACTTGGCGGACGAAGAGGTGGGTGTTCCGATGTAGGAATTAATTTTCAGTTTTTTAGCCATTCTCACGGGGCTCTGCTAGGAGTAGCGTTGGTTCTGGGTATCTTACACCTGGCACTCCTCCACCACCACTGCCGCTCACACTTCCTCCATTGGATCATGAACCAATCATCCGGAGGCCAACAATTTTATGCTCAATCAGGGTAAGAATCGGCTTGTTAACCTTCTTAGAGGTCGGCGGCTATATATTCACCATCTCTGCCGAATTTACACAATTTTCAAGCCTTTTTAAATTAGCTTGATTTAGAAAAATTCCATCTGTAATAATAGTTTTTATTTTAGGACCGTCCGGCGTCGCTCATCAATTTTTCTATGAACACATCTAAAACCTCACCCCTCAGCTCACCACTCAGAAACCCTACCACCCCAACAAGGCAATCAGCCGCTGTCAGTCACTTCTAGACAAAATGCTAATTACCTGAAAGCTTTAGCCGCCAATTTGTACATACATGCAAGAAATCTTCTAGTGATTATCTAGGCCATCTTCTGGTATTTTTGTGGGAATCGCCATGTGATCAATGTGATATAAATTATGCAAGTAAAGCGTGGTATTTAAATGACACCGTCCAAGCCGTAAAAGAAGAGGGCAAAAAATTACACCATTACCCGAGTTCTCTTAATATAACCGCCCCTAAACACTTTCTTGTCAACGCACAGTTAAAATCCAGGAAATGCGGTAATCGCTCCTGCTCAGGCTTTGAATTTTGCTCCTTGTCCCTTTTAAGCGAATTGAAACGCTAAAAATCAATGTGTCTGCTCAAAAACAAACAAATTAACCCTCAATTTCAGAGTTTTGATAGGTCAAAAATCTAAGAGTCCACTTTATTAAGAGCCCCTGCTTTCAAGATGATTGAAAAATGGGAGCCCTGAGGTTATTTTTAGAGGAAACCAGGGTTGAAAAACCGCTTCGCGGCTTTTCAACCCTGGCCCCGTCCAGGACCTGCGAAAGTCCTCAATTTGCATGCTTCTCCCTAAATTCTAGCAAGAAAAAAGTGAAAAACAGCTCCTCTGTCCCTTTATATAGGCCCTCCCTACTTCCGGCGCATGCAAATTGCCTCCTAACAAAGAGGTTTTTGGAAATCTTTACAAAAACTTATTTTTAATAGCGAAAATAGCCGATTTTTCTAAATTTTATATGTGTGCACTCATCTCGGGATCCTTACGCACCTAATGATGTATCATACGTACCTTAAAAACCTTCCCTTGAGGCTGTAGGTGCGGTACATACTTACGGAAGTTGCATGCAAATATACACACACACACAGACACTATTTTTTTATATATTAGAGGAAATACGGCATATGATCATGTAGTTCTTAGAGATTTAAATGACCCAATTGGTACCCGCGGTGCAAGTCAAGGCCTAGTGTGGCGAGCGATTTGAGAGGTAGAGGGGAGCATGGGAGGATGGGGCGGTGCCTGGTTGAGCATCCGTCCGTTGGGATCTGCGTGGTGCTTCGTGGGATCCGATCGACGGGTCGGTGTGAGTGTCTCCAGCGGTCCCGTCGCCCTTATTTTTATCCACCTTGCCCACCCCAATTGTCGGCTTCATATGGTTCATCGGATCTACGCCCCCTTCCTTCTCCTTTGCCTATACCTGCACGGGTCACGGGCACAGGACAAGGCTGAAGTCGATATTCGGGTTTCTGGTGCTTGTAGTCCGGGTAGGTTTTTTTAGAGTTTTTAAACGATGGCTTGCCTATTTGGTACCCAGATTTAGCCCGTCCGCCTGCCGAGCTTTTACTTAGCTTTTACTTTACCGTTTTCGAATTTGAGACAGAGAGAGAGATAGAGAGGGAGAGTGAGAGAGGGAAAGAGAGAGCTAGACGATCGCCCAGGGCTAAGTAGCAAACATTTTCGGAATGTTATTTGTCGAGAAAGCCTCTTACATTCCGCCGCTTTCCTTTATCTCAGGCCTTTTTTTTTTGCTGAACATGAGCCCTCTGAGATTAGCCCACGGAATCTGTTGAATAGATAAGTCAGTGCAGACATAGTAAATTTATACCACAATTTTATAATCTTCTCGACCTCACTAGACTACCTCAACGCCGTGCTAAACGGCCCAATTTTCCCCACAACCAACCTGGTTCCGGACGTTCCGCCCCATGCACTCAACGCTCTATTAATGCAACGCAACTCTGGTCTCTGCTTTAGCCTGACTCCCAAAAACGCATCCAAAAATTAAATCCAACACACATCCCCAATCCTTTACCTCCAAAACTATTCTGACCGAATTGGAGCTATTTTTGATTCACCCCGGTCCCGGATGTTTCCGCGCGTGACAAATTGGTTAGTTCTCTGGGTGGCCGTCCTATCGGTATCGATGCGGAATCGTGCCAACCGGTCGTCAAAAGTGCACCAGTGTCACAATGCTTTGGCTCCGAGTCGCAATGTTCAACCCCGGGGATCGACGTCCCACTTAGGGAAATCAATGAGACGGGCTAGCATCGTTTCCACCTCCCGGTTCATCTCCTCCTTCTCCCCCACCAGCTCAATCCATCTAGCGTATCCCCCCTCCGGGGGCTGAAAAGAAACGAGAACTCCCCCGCAAAGGAAAAGCCGCAGCGGAGAAGGCTGAGCCTTTTGAAACAACTGTGACAAGAGGGCTAGGAAAAGAAATAGACGTATGACTTTTAGCGGGTGATCGGGTGATGTAAAGGCATTGGATTCGATATGAACGTATCTAGTGTCAGAAATAGGGTGAAAAACAAGATGACGAACTATGGAGTTTGATCTTTGGCTTTGTAGCGAATAGAAAAGCACCTAGATAGTATCTTAAGTTTTCCTTTAGTTGAACTCGTGAACTCGGCGTGGATCGATTTTGCCTCAAAGGATTACATTCGTCCCAAAGCTTCATTTTTATCGTTAAGCGGCATATAATTATTTGTGTGATATTTTTGGAAACGGGCTTCACTTCTAGAAATATTTAAAGAAGACCAATCTTATTTTGTTACGGAATTCAAAATTGGTTCTACCCATTGCCAATAACAAAACATACAAAAAAATCAAAATTAAAATGGCTGACAAAACCTAAATAAACTTTCTTTTTAGTCTACCTGCAGCGGAAAGGCATCGATGTATCAAAATATCGTCCGTCTATCCGATTTAACCCCGACAAGATTCAGCTGATCCCGAAAAATCCAATCATTCCCGGATGTATCAAGATCAAAGCAGAGGGTATTGCGTTTATTCAAGTTTTTCCATATAACTTATTGCAGGTGTCGAGATCACCAAACCAGTCAAGAATCTGGTAGCAGAGATCGAGATGAGGATTGGAGGTACTGGCTATTTTTTTGCGCGTCAACAACAATCCAGGTACCCCGGACCCAAACAACCCGACCCTTCCCTGCAACAAGAAAATTGATGAAAAAGTGAATCAGTGCCCGTGCGCGAAGGTGGACAACACATGGTACAGAAAAAGATTTACACAAAAAACAACAACAATTATTTGTTTAGTGTTTTCTGTGATTTCTGCCGACAGTTGAAATCGCAAGCTCAGACGCATATTACGGCTACGCGGCGGTTGCCAAATGGAAGGAAGAGTATTGATGACGATTGTAAATGCGAGGAGGTAAAGTATTTTCGGGACATTAAATAATGTTTTAGATGCAACCTGGACTGTATGATATTGAGACGGAAATGTGCACGCCGGAAATCGATGATGCTAAGGATTACATTCCACCCGAAATTCAGAATAACATCTTGGATAAGCGGCCGGTAAAAGCTATTTATGAGATAAAAATGATGTATTTAAGATTTCTATGTTCATTACCGTATACCTGATGGATCTTGAACAACGCGGTGCTCGGGAAAGCTATCTATCAGCATTCGGAAAAGCCATTCTTCAACGGTAATTAAGGATCCTTCAATTTTATTCCAGTTTAGACGAATGGCACAATCTACCGTTGCCTGCTTCCTCCTTGGAATCGACGTGAAACTTGCATTCCCCTCACTGCAATTATAACTTTGACCAAATCCCCCCTCCCACACAACAGACCCATGAAACGGGTGTTCCTTCCTTTCCCCCTTCCCATTTTCCCCTTGCCATTCATTATATCCGCGAAAATATAAATAAACATTTATTAATCTCTCAAAATTCAGGCGGGGCAAAAGCGCAATAGGAACCCAATAAATGCTAGGAATAGAACTCTGCGAACCAAGGATAAAAATAAGTACAGCAGCAAATATAACATTCGGGCGCGCGGTGGCTTATTTAATGTGGATAACACGATACATGGCTATTATATCACATTGATGGTTTGCTAAGGGAATGGAATAAATTATGGTGGGGAGGGCAAGTGCTAAATCGGGGGTGCAATCCGGCGGCGGCGTAAGTGAAAAGGAGATGAGACATAGAAATTAAATTAGAATTCGGCTATCCTAGTGCATAAACCCAGAGGAGGAATGGGCAGATCTGGATTGAAGAAAACAAATAGAATTTTTTGGGGGGTTTTAGTGGGGCCCGTAGCGTTGGTCGCTTTTCCCATTTCCTCAAAGTGGCAATTGGTAGAAAATCGGGGGTAACCGTATGAGGATCAGATATTTGGATGACAACATAAAAAAAGACCGGGTAGAGGGTTTTTTTTGGGGGAATGTTTTGGTTGATTTTACGCGTTCATATCCGTTTCCGAGTCTTTGCGAACGGGGGCAGTGCCAGCCAGGCTGCTGCTGTGGAATAGTTTGTACCATCCGATGACGGGTTGAGGACCTGTACGTGAAATTTAAAAAGATGATAAAGATTCGTTACCAAGATCCAAGTCATCCAAACGGATCTGGGCAATGCCCATAAATCCTTTACGTTCCATTCGGCCGTAGTCACCAAGTACGGTGATCTGAAATAGTATTTTAGGCGACAAGACGTGGATTCCCAGGGTCTCATCAATGCGCGGATGGCCACCGCGCGCTTATTATGCCAACTGATAAGGAATATAGCTCTCGATAAACTACAAAACTGGAATTTTCGCGTTCATTTGATTTAACATCATTCTGTATTTATCTCTACCGACATACCTGTAACATCTTTCCTTTAGCCGTATCGTTGAAGACCAAGTGCTGCTCAAACACCAACGACGTCCCCTTACGTGACGGATTCGTCTTGGCCTTTGCAATACACTGCTTCCCCTCCATCAGGTACACTTTCACGTACGGGGCTAAAACTCTTATATATTAGGGACCGATTCGCCAATGACCTGGGTTGATCTTACTTCCTGGTTTGGTCGTCAGATTCTTCGCGCGCACCACTTCCACGTCAATGCTTGACCGGGTGGCCATGATCGCGATTTGGATCTCGCCCAGTACCGGCGAGGCCAGCACCTAATTTTTTCGATGAAAGTTTGGAAATTGTACAAACCTGTCGACCTACAACTTGGCCAGGGCCTAAATCATCCACAAAGGTGCCAAGTGGACCGTCAGGCATTATGGGTAGCCAACTAAAATATGTTTCTTTTGAAGAACCAATCTATAGCTTACTTGTCGGAATGGCTACTGTCGGTGCTTTCCTTACTGGCCTGTTTCAGGAAAGGCGTTGTCTGTAGCCGGTCGGAGCTGAGGTTTTCTGGGATACCAACCTCTTCCGAACGCGCAAAGCCCGTCCGTTTGCCTAAATCTAGCTTGAGAGAATTGTTGAGTGACTAACCTTGTCCAGGGGCATTTCTGCCCGGGATGAATCTCGTCATAAGGCTTTTCTTGCGCTCCTTGGCTTCTTGGTTCTGGTTGTTAGCTTGATTGGCCGCAGCTTTTTTGGCTTCTCGATGCGCCTGTTCGATGTATTCCTCTTCTTCGTGATTTTCTTGAGGTCGACGTCGGTTGATGGTCCTAAAGGAATTTTTCAATTTTTTTTTGAATCAGTTGCCAGTTTTGGCGTTTTTTAGCGCTTACCTAACAGTTGGCATCGAATGGGCCGAATGGAGACTTAGCGATTCAGACCCATCGCTACCATAACCAGTCGCCTCTCCCATAATAACACGACCATTTGGTGATCGTGGATCATGCCTGGGCATAGGCTCGTTTAGGTTTTGCATTTGCATCATTTGAGCCCCAGATCCTGCCGGCTGGGGCTGCATCGGAAAACTAGACGAAATACATTCGGAACTGTGGCTATTTCTTACTTCTGGCCCTGCATTACATTTTGTTGTGGCTGATGATGGTTTTGGTTAGGATAATATTGATGCTGCGGAGGTGGGGGCGGCTGATCCTCGGAATCCTAAATACAACCTGGGCAGATTTTCGCGTTAAAATACCTGGCTGTAGTAAGGATCACTGGGTAAGTTTCGGCTATAGAGTCGACTTGCACTCATCTCAGCGGCAGTCACTAAAACATGGGTTATTATTGCCCGAGATAGATAATTGCCAACAGTTTTTTTTAAACAAAAGCAGGGGATTTTCTTCGAAGGCGTTCCAGTTTTCTGGATAGAGGTTAAAAGCTGGCGGTAGTAGTACTTTTGAGGTGCGGACAGTCGAGGGGTTATTGAAAATGCTCTGCACTCCATTTGTTAAGAAAAGTGGGCCGAGAAGTTTCACTCTAGCGAAGGAATGGATTTGCTGCGAAGGGAGAATTTTCGCAGGCCCAATTTGGCCAATAAGTTGGGCTGATGTGAACTGCAAGGGGCGGAAATTAGGCCTCAATTAGTGGATTAGAGGCGGGGTGTGCCGGTATAGATATACCAACTGAGAAGTGACGGGGAGCGTTTCGTGACAGTTCACAGTTTTTCGGTGTTCATGAGTGAGGTTGGTAGAGAAAGCTTTGATTTGAAAAACACTCAAAAACACCGGACCCGGACCCCACGCCAGTTCAAACCGAGGGACTAATTGTTTCATATGTAAAACCGTGTGCTTACGGGGCGTTCGGCAAATTGCGACCTTGCGGCGAGCGGCTGAGAAATCGATTGGTATTAAAAGGACGGAAAATACAAGAGGGGCAGTTTTTGGATTAGATTATTTGGGCGGTTCGAACTGAAGCATACTTGGTCTCATGGCAGTGGCTGATCTTGGGCGTCGATGACGGTGGCGTGGCATTTGGTGGCCAGGTTGTGAGTAGCCATGATCCGAAAGGTAGCCGGATTGGTTGTTAACGGTCCAGTCGTCTTCCGGGCGATATGGTACCTAAATAATTACTGTACAGGGGGTGCGGAATTGAACTGACATCTCGATACTCAAGTGGTGTCATCCTCCCGCCAGATACTCGGCCTCGATCGTAGGTTCTAGAGCGTCGCATCTGATACGGATCCAAGAACTGTTCTTTTGGCCCAGGCACCCCGTCATAGGAGTATTCTCCACTATGTGGATCCGACGATTGAGACCTATAAACCCTTTTAATTGTCATCCCTTCGAGTCAATACCTATGCCCGTAGCGATCCCCATAATAAGTGGTCATCTCGGACCTTGGTCTTTGAGGAAGACTGTTATATTGATGCGTCGATCCTCTCCTGACGCGTAGCCGCTAAAAAGAGTTTAGTGTTTTCTTTTAGAACTTACAGATCGCAGCGGGTTCTCTTGATCCATATCTTCCATTGTGAACTTCAGTGGTTGCCCATCCAAAGGCACGGCTGAGAAATCGATGAGTACTTCCCCCAGGAATGAGTTGGCTTCGTACTTATCGTAGTCCCAGACGGTGACCTAAATGGCACGGTTCTTGTTTTTTTCTAAAGCTTACCTCCAGAATACGTTCTAGAAGCGCTGGTTCCGTGATGTTTTTGTAGTAAAACTCTTCATTCCAGATGGGCATTGTTGTCTCAGCCAGCACGGAAGATTGCCGCTTTGATGCCTCACTAAAATAAGTAGGATTACTGGGAAATCCTTGTAGCCAGAACAGATAAATACTTTTTAGCCGAGCTTACCTTCGGTCCGGTAAGAGGAACAGCTTTACGTATGGATTCCTCGGCATCCCATCCGCTCGCGGCGGTAGATCGTATGCTCTCAATAACGAAACCGTAAGGATTCGTTCGTGTAGCGAGTAGAACAGCGAGAACTGAACAAATAATAATTTTCAAAGTTCAAAAAGTGGTCGCATACCTCAATTGTGCCAAATATTTGTCCCTTGGCGTATTGCATCTCCGTGTGGATGTTGGGGGGTTGAATGGCTGGAAATTGGAAGATGGGACAGCTCGATTCAGTGGGCCTACGGAGGGCCCTGGGCAGGCCCTCCCAACTTCCCGGTCCCCCCTCAAGTCCCTGGGCCCGCAAATGAGCTAAGTGCTTTGGCAATCGAAGATCAAGGCGAGTTGGAACTTTGTGACGTTGGGGTTAGCTAGTCTAGCTGCGCCAAGCACCCAATAAGGTTTGGAGACCAATGATTTGGACGTAACATTTTGAATTTCTTACCTGTTGGAAAATACACTGGCAATGACGGCTTATGCCTTGGGCTTCCATGCAGCATCATCGGAAGATGTGGCAACGTTGCGGATTGCGAATGTGGCATCTGGGAGAGTAGTGGCGAATGGGAGGGCGAATAGAAGCGCATCTCTTCTAAAACGAAGCCAATCCCTCGTCCTCGACGCAGTGGCCACTTACCTTGTGCGGCAACAAACTGCGGGTTTGGCAACTGGCGAGGTGGATGTGGCATTATCACGGGGCCTGAGATGGCTGCTCCGACGTGTGGGGAATATGCTTGTTGTTGGACGTTCAGGAAATCGTCACCACCGGGTACACTATAAATTTAAATCTTGATAGGTTGTGGATGATGAAGCGCGTTTTTTATTATCCCGGCCTTTTCTCGGCGGAAATCCAATCTTTATATGTAAATTCTTACTATGCCTCGAAAAGGCGCCATTTGGTGCGTGCGGGAAAGGATCCGACCATATCAAAAGAAGATAACCAACCTCGTCGATCTGCTGACAATCAGCTCAACTTGCGTATCGTTCTTGCTCGCGGCAATCACTTCGTAGACTTGGTCAAAGGTCTTGTTTTGCAGGTTTACTCCATTCCACTCCAGGACTTCGTCGCCTAACGAGTTCATGACAATTATATAGGTTTTCCAAACCTCTTCGAAGACGACCAATCGTATCGGCAACGGATCCAAGTCTCACTTGGGTGATGAAGGCTCCTAATCGACCCGTATCTGTTCTTCTGCCACCAACCACCTAAAAGGGAGGGTTAATGCACGGGAGAGGTCGAACCTTGAGTCCCAGATCACCGTTGGAGACGCTGTCTGTTCGATGGAGTATCATGTGGCCTATCAATCGTCGCTGGTCTGCAGATGGTTGCCACGTGACGGGGTGCTGAAAATGGTGCCTGATTGGTGAAATAATTTTGGATTGTTAATGTTTAACAGGCTATGTTAGAGAATAGGTTTTATTGATTTAAGAGTAGCGAACTGTATAGCCGTTAGCCTCAAGAAACCTCACCGATAAATATGTTCGTATCTTCGCGGCCAGCATATCTCCCGGTATAACACTCGGCGTAATCTTCTTACTCAACGGCATCTCCTCTTCGCCCGTTGCTCTGAGTCCAGTTGTCGAAAGGCCTAAAGCTGACCCAATTTTTGCTGCTCGGTAATCCATATTGTCTACGAGCTACCCCCGGCGGCTCTCTGCCCTCCATGCCTTCCATTTTCGCCATTGGCTTTTATGGCCGTTCCACGAATACGATGGGGCAAAAGTGTAATTGAGAACGGGAGGCCCGGTGGTGGTGGAGGGCGACTCTCTACTGTCTGTGTGTATGTGCCGCCAGCCATTTTGAGCCACCCCCGATGGTGGTTCGGCTCCGCATTTTGCTCATGAATAATTCGGGGGTGTGCGCACCCACACCCTGAAGCGCCACGAGAAGAGGGGGCCCCCAGAAAGTCGAGTCCTTTTTTCAACCGACCAAAGCAAAAAAACTCACTCTTCCGTCCATTTTTCAGCTTTTCCGGCCCGTAGATGTAGCGCAGGAGGTCTGAAAAGAGACGCACTTTCACCCAGGTGCGCCAGCATTTTTTTTTGGTTAGTCAGCCGGCCAAGAGTTCTGCTTTTTTGTGGTTGGTCTTTGAGAGAAACCCCAGTGGCGTGGGGGTGATGCGTGAGTTTGGGTAAGGGTAGCTTTTGCAAAAAAAAGATGGGTTTTTGGAATGTGCTACTAAACCATTGACCGCGTAGGTCAAAAAGAGCAAAAATTCTCCTAGTAAAGAAAGACTGACACAAACCCTTCTCACTGGTACATTCGTCTGGCACTCTCTGCACTCCTTCGTCGCCAAATGGTGCTGCACCATGACCGTCGGATGTTGTTGGCCGTTGGTCATCCTCGGAAGAACTCATTGAGCGGAGTTGTCTAGAATATTTTACTTATCTCAGTTATTGGAATGGCGCTCGATTCAATAAGTATGCCATAGCGAACCACTAAAGACTATCCTCCATGGATCAGAACAGTATAAGAAAAAGTTGTGATGCCCTGACTCTACGCACTCACATAGCCCCCTGCATAGCCCTAGTAATTTGTAACGACAAATTGGTATTGGCAGCAGGAGAGGCGCGGAGGCGGATGGAAATGCAAATTGGCAGAGCGCCCAATGGATTAGCAACGAATTTGGGCCATGGGATGCGACTTTGCGGTTTGGGGGACTTTGGGAAAATACTTGGGGGTTGGTTTCGAGTGGAAAAGCTCAAAAAATGAGAAAGGTCAGACCTGTGTAGACGGGTCTTCTTGTGTCGATGGATGGAGCCTTCCCGGGGGACCGCATCAACTTCCAGGGGTCGTGCCGACGTAGATGCTTTCCGCATGTCGTCTTCTGTCCTGGCTGCAGTTCGATTTCGTCGGAATTCTAGAGCCAAATTGATGGTTATATGAGTGTATTTTCTACCTGGTCTTGCACCGGTCGCATTTGTTGATCCATATTGTTGATCCAATGCCATATCATTTGTAGGTCCGTTTGGAGATCTTCCTCGCTGCGAAACCTTCCTTCGGTTTTCGAACTCCCTTAAATTACTAAATAATATCTCCGGCAAGCACACTTTCAAACACATAGAGGGAAAGCAACTAAAACTCGTGCAAACAAACCTATCCCTATTTGTCGGCGATGGCGTCCTCCGCCGACCGTCTCGATCTCGTGCGTGCAATCTTAAGGGAAGAGTGCCAATAAAAAAAAAGAAAAGAATTCAAAACAAGGTGGAAATGATCGGGTAAAGTACCTGTCCCTTTCATCCAAAGGCCTATCCTCATTTTCAGTGTAGAACATTGGTCTCTCCCGTTCCTCAGCCCTTGAAAAAACAAAAGAATGTAAACTAAAGTGAAAGCAACAAAAAAAATGGACGGACGCAACAGAACGAGCTGGAAATTTCTAGTTACAACCCGACAGCCCCAAGTATCATTCAGGTAGAACAGTATTTTAATATTTTTCATAATAAAGGCGTAGGGACAGTAACATTTGACAAAGCGACTTCGACTTGGTTTTGATTTTAGCTAGCATGCATGGATTTTTCGATCTCGAACGGTATTAACAAACTTAAAGGCACACGTTCTTTGGCATTCCCAGGCGTACCATTAGTCTATTTTTAAAGCCAAATAAAACCAACCGTCTTCTCCTATCATCATCTTTTCTCCTGTCATCATCCCGGTATCGCTCATTTTCTCGTTCGATTGAAGTCTAGGAAAGTTATTATCGAAGGAGGAATTTTGCATACTTGACTTCGTACCCGATCCCTGGGATGGCCATTCGGAGCCCGAGCAGGTCCATTTGGTCCGTAATTTCCTCCCGTTGATGATTGCCTTTGCATTTGGTCCTGACAAATTAATAGAAGCAAAAGCCAGGTAGACTCACCCTATGTGTCAAGCTTGGTTGTCGCGTCAAAGGATTCTGATTCGGAGGTCCGGCCTGATTGCGGTTTTGTTGAACTGACGTGACCGGTCCTTGTTGAGGACCTGTAATACGGTAATTAACTTAATGCTAACTTAAATTACCAGTCCGCTGCTGCACATTTTGGCCCTGTTGCTGCCTTTGCTGTTGTTGAGGCGGGCCACCATTTGCCGTCGGGGCAGTCGATGATTTAACTAAATCATGCATTTTTTGCAGCCTCTCGCACACACAGCAGCAAGCCAACAATCAACCAACTAATAGCATCGCCCCAATCCACCCCTACCATCGGGGCAATTCCAAAAAATAAAAAATGAACCACTATGTGCATGGAGCCGGTCGCGACGGTGCAGGACACGATTAATTTTTGTAAATCGCAAAAAAAAAACAGAACCACGGGCGACGTGAACCCAGGCTCCTACTGGTGCGTGTGAGTTTGCACTTGGTTTGCAAAAAATTGCGGGGAAAACACGAAACAAATTAAAAATGTTCAGACGATATTTGCAACACAATCTCTACAAATCTCTCAGGGCAGCCACGAACTACTGAGAATAATATAGTCGGCTTACACAGTCCAGTGAGGCCGCTGGCCAAGCGGCTGGCTTGCGCTGTCAGGCTTGTGTCTTCTGCGCAAAAGAAATTATTTAGAGGATTTTTCAGAATTTTTGGATGCAATTTTGGATTGTAACGGATTTGAGTAGTAGTGATTTTATCTCGACATTTTAGAACCCAGGACTGTAATTCAGAGTATATATAAATTTCTAATGTCCGTGCGCCCGTCCGTCCGCCCGTCCGACCGGATCGCTGCGGGACCCCCCAGGACCGGTTCGGACGGGTCCGGGAGCCGGGGCGTTTCGGGATTTCGGTGTATGGGATGTTGATTTATTACCCCCCGGGAGGGCCAGCGCTGAACCCCCGCGGAGCGGGGGGTCAGCGCTGGTTCTTACTTAAAGCGCACGTTCAGGGAGGGGCCGTATACTCTGTCCAACGTATACACCCTATGGACGTAGGGACGGCGCGCACGGCCTGCCCGTGGAGTGGGAGGCAATTCCCCTCCTTTCCGGGTTGAAGATTTCTTGTTGTTTAAATAGCCGTTGTTTAGTTTTATAGCGAAATTCCTTCGTTTAGAGAGATGCTGTGAGGTCAACAAAATTTTGATGTATTTTGACGACCTGCTAATTGAAACAAAATCTTGGGATTCGAACATAGTTGTGGCCATGTATTTTCTAAGATACCCCGGCGAATGCCCGAAAACCCAGAGGACTCTATTCCGCGCAGAGATTACAGCGAATTTGTTAATTTTCCAATAAATAGAGCTTGAAAAGTTAAATACGAGGTTCTAAGAAAAGCCGATTCCAATCAAGCATAAAAGAAGTCATAAAAATATTGTTTGGATTACCTGGTCGGGGCTGAGCTGTTTGCGGCGGAGGTTGCTGGGGTTGAGGTTGTTGAGGTTGTTGCTGTTGCATCATTGACGGCGGCTGTTGCTGAGGTATGGGCTGTTGTGCAGGAATTTGTTGCGGAGGATAATTCTGTTGATAAGGCGGTTGTTGGCTGGGTGGTTGTTGATAATTCTGTTGCGGAGGGGGTTGGGATGACAATGAGGGCTGCCTAGGCAAGGGTTGCTGCTGCTGCGGCATTGACTGATGGCTAGGCATTGGATTTGGTTGTTGGCTGCCGGATGGTTGGCCCATATTGCCCATATTTTGATGTTGATGTGGTAGGGGATCTTGCCGGATAGTGGGCATTTGGGCCTGCGATGTCGTCGGCTGATCCGTGCCACTTCCGATGGTTCCGGTGAGGGATGGGCTCGGGCTAAATAAAGGCACGTTTCTGGGAGGAGTTGAGACGGGAAATCCGTGACTTCCGTATCAATTAAAGGCGCATGGAACGATTTGGTACCAGCTGCCACCCCTTTTTGAGGATGACGGGAATGGGGCGAGTAGCAGGACCCAGGTGTTCGCAGAGTGCTCGCGCTCTTTAAGGTAATTACTGGACGTTCGTTGTGGTTTCTATTGGAGTGACCAAAAATTCAGCGCGGTTTAAAATTTGCAGGTAAAGTACGAAATATTTTTTGGGGTTCTCAATGAAATGGTTGTTTGTCCGTACCTCATGCCAGGCCGTCCAGGTTCGTCAGGTTGGAACCATTTGCCGGTTTTCATCAAAATTTCTTGCCTCTTCTTGCACAACGAACAGGCCCAAATTGGCTAAAAAGAATTTATAGGCCATAGTTCATGTAAGTACCCGATTTTTCGTCGTCGTCCTACCGCCACATCGTGCACAACTTCGCAACTGACAGTAGAAACATTTGTGGCCTATCCCGTCGGCGAATTTGGTCTTTTGGCAAATTTGGCAGATGGCATCATCCTAGAAAGCACGGATTAAACAGCTTTTAAAATTAGTCTACCTGGGTACCAACCAACTTTCTCGCGGTCTCCTTCCTGTCATTAATCTGTTTCTCGATATTGTTCAGCTCTTCGTCGGCGATTCTGAAATTGGGCATGGATTTTGGTGTTTAGACCGGAAGTTCCCCATCGGCCAACAAAATCTCCACTTTTCCGCCCCCAACCCCGTCCCCTCCAAATCCCCCCCTCCACATCACCCATTCTACACTTATGAATTCGCAATCGGATCGAGCCGGCGAAGCGTCATTCGCCGGCCCTACCTCCCCTCAGTACTTTCTTCCACATTCAGTTATTTTGGGGGCGCGGGAGCCGAGCGCCGAGAAAACTTCCTCGCGCAAGTCAATTTTTGCGGCGGCCAATTTGGTGGATGTGTGTATGTGTGCAAACGGCTCAAATGACCGCACTTTGTCGAGGGCACTCACATGCATCCCCCCCACGCAATATGTAGAAAGGGCTTCAAAATGGATGGGCATTAATTAATGTAATTATTCCTGGGCGGGGGATATTGGGCAGTAAATGGGCGCGCCCATCCATCAAAAGTTAATCCAATTTGGCGTGCTGTTTGATCGGGGAAGCGGAAAAAAATGAGGGGATGAGGATGGCTATAGGATAATCCGGCGAGATGAGGGTATTTTTGGGGGACCAACTAGAGAATATTAAACTTTTTTCGGAGTGGAAAAATATGTAGGTTATCAATGGAGACATTATAATCCAAATAAAACGTACTGTGACACGGCCTGTTCTTTCTGCTCCTCCGCATGCTGTCGCTGAAAAACGGCCTCGATGATGGCGCGTTCTTCGGCCGACAGATGCGACAGGTCGGGCATGTCCGCCATCCTAAAAATGCAATATGGAATTTTATACCTTTAATTAGCAGCGGTAAAAGTAAAGGTCCAATTTTTCGGGGTTCTAAAATAAATTGCCGTTACCCATCCATGAAATGAAAGCCAGATGCCAGCAACTGGGATGGAGAGGAGCGGGAGCTCGTTCTTCGCAACATTTAATGGAATTTGGGTGTTGGATGGATAGCGGTGGGGCACCATATGTTTGAAGATCAGCTGGTTTTGCTGTCTGCACGAAATTGATCGGAAAGAAGGGCCAAAAATTCACAACTTTCTGGCTTGTTTAATTTTCCAGTGAGACCGATTAACAGCAAAGAATTGCATTTTGCCTTTAATACGGGTTTGAATCAACCTAATAGGCTAGTATTCAAGAACCGTTAAACATTTTTAAATTATTACCTGGCAGCCGGGCGCCGTGCCGGTGCCGAGGCCTTCCAGTGGTGTAGGAGGTCCTGCAACAAACGAGTATATCCCCAAAAAGAAAAAAAACGTTGGCCGGGCGACCCGCCAAGACCCAAAAGTATCTAATGAAGTTTGCCGGCACACAAATTAGCGAAGGGAGCCTAAGTAGTCAAGCGAAAAGAAGAAACCGCGGATCCAAGCGGAAAAGGAGGGGGGAGGACCGACCAGGCCAAGGGGCCCACCCACGACTTCGACGAGCCCTTCCTTCGGGCTTCTCTTTTTTGGAACCCCAGCTTGAGACTCGGCCCGCCAGGGGCCGTCCGCCGTCCCGCGCAAAATTAATTTTGCATTGGCACGGCGACGACGGAGCACCAAGGACCCCCACGGGCCAGGGCTATGGACCGCATGGATGGGGGGCATTTTACATACACACACGCACCAATGTTGGGTGGCGGGGTGGGAATAGTTTTGGTATGGAACTAGAGGGAAATAGGGAGCTAGAAAATTGAGAGTGAATGCGATACAATTGCCGAGACATGTATTGGAGTGCTTCGTAAACGGTAAATTACTTTTCAAGCACACTTTCAAGGAGTTTTACGCTACAGCTATGAACACTTCGCTCTCTTGAGCTTAGTGAATAAGTATGTAGGTATGCCTTACGTCAGCTTTCAGAACCCGAGAAACATTGATAAGCCCTCATATAACAAACCTTCTGAGCGTAGTAAGCAACCATGTAATTCTATGAATAAAAACCAGATAAATCTCTCGAGGGATATGGTGATCAGGAGATCGTCTGAAACTTTTTACCACCGAGATTCATAAATTTAGGTTGCAAGGCTTCGTCTTGGATATCTCAAAATTCCGAAAGAATAATCGCATTTAATAAATCCCTCCAGGGATTAAGTAATTAGGAAATCGCCGGAGTCCTTTTCTACTGCAAGAAAATCAAGGAATACGTGCCGAATTTGAGCACCAGAAAGAAAAGTACAGCAAGAATAACGAAAAGACCGACACTAAGACAAAGGAAAGGACCTGTTTTCTAAAAACAAAGCGATACTAAAGGGGGGATGGGGGATGTGTCTGCTCATCCTGGCCACCGAGAAGAGGCCCGGTGGCACTCGACCGGGGCTTATAAGCCTTCGGGCCGCTGAAAACGAATGCGGGATTCGGGCATCGCCCCGATTGAAATGCCTCCCTCCCCGGGCGATGAGAGCTCTTCTAAAAACTCATAGCCGAGTCGCGCAAATAAGGAATTCGTCGAAGGACCCTCCGCACTGCACCTCCAAACGGGTCTTTGAGGAGGGATCGCTTTAACGTCAAGAAGCAATTAGCTTTTTCACATGGAAATCGGGTTAAAAATCAGCTTGGGTTGGTTCAATGGTCTGTTTGAGGTTGCGGTTAGCGAGGTTATTGCAAAAATGGGATTTAAATGGGTCGAGATTCGGTCCTTACCGATTTGAGCCACTGAAAACTACAAGGTGTCAACTCGGATGTTTGGTAGACCGAAATAATCATGGTTGGAGCAAGATTCTGCTAGAGGTTGCGACTGGTGAGAGTATTACAAAAATGGAATTGAAAGCGATAAATATTCTGCTTGTCACGACTTGGGGGTATACAAAAAATATAAATATCAAAACCGATTTGAGATATAAAATACTAGAACTAGAATAAAGGAAGAAATCCAATAGGTAGCACAGCAGAAATGACCGGTTTTCCCAGTTCTCCTATTGGTTACGGTTAGAGGGAATATCGCAAAAAAAAACGAAATTTAAATTGGCGAGAGATTTTAGTTGTTCTAAATTCAAGCCCGTTGATCATAAAATCCCGTAAAAAAGTGCATAAAAAAGAATGACCCGCTGAATAGCATCCAACATTAGCATGATTAATAAAACGGACCTGCCAGAAACCGGAACAAAAAGTTGGCCGGCATGAGAAGGCCAAAGCGAATGAAGCCATAAATGTTTCAATCAAAGGAGTGGGAGGGCCTTGATTAAAGATCAAGATATGTTGCGGCCCTGCTTTTTGCTATAGCTTCAAAAAGACCATCGTAAAAAACAATCAAGCATATGAGAGTTGGGAGTGGGTTTCATCAAAAGTTGCAGATCTCGGAGCCCTTCGATATTTGCGCATCCGCTAAGGGTATTTCTTGGAATTTATGACCAACCCTATCACATCAATCATAAAAACCGGGTGGCCGACGGATTCCGTGAGACGGCGATTTCCATGTTTCACCAAAAGTGGGGAGGGGCTCGCCGCCAAAAATCTGGGGCTCACACGCGATCCCGGGTGGGTCTCAGAACGGGCTGACATAAATGAAAATGGCTGGGGGGAGGAGATTTGGTGAGGAGGGGTGGAGGAATATGGCGGCTTTTTGCAGGAGGGGTTTGTTAAATTTAGTGAGTGTACAAGATGGGTGAATATGGCTCCTCAGACTCAGATGTTTCGTCAGAAAAATCGGAATTTTTAGCTCAGTTTACGTTACGTAATACAAAAAAAGCAGGCATGAATTTAAAAAAATTAAAAATTTTTGGCAGACGTTTAATAACAATTCTAAGCCTGTGCTACTAAAGCTCCAGCCAACCCCTCCCACGTAGGTGTAGGCACCCAAAATTGAATTGCGTTATAGTTATACGGGTTAGTTAGGACGACCAAAAGGATAGAGCCAAGTCAGCTGCAACCGATTGTTTGAATGGGTTTGTTAGTCCGTGGGGGGTTGGGGTGGTCCAGCCCCAAATTCAGAGACCCCCGACTTCGGGTATCGTTAGGCAGCAGGGGATAAGATTAGGGGGGTACCCTCCCAACGTTTTCGGTCACCACCCGGATGGACGACGCTAGGTTCTCTATAGTGCACCCTGGATATTATGTGATTTATCGAGAATTACAGATAATTATTAATATAGGCATAACCCTTATCCTAGAGCCGATCAACAGATCGGACGAGTTGAATCTTGCGCAAATATCGAATGGGTGATTGCCTTAATCATAAAGTTTAGAAAATCAGAATATATTTATTTTAGCCGGGTTCACGTATTTTACACGACGCTCTAGGATGTAAATATGTTAATTTTGGGTTTAAACAAGGGTTTGCAATGGCCGTCAACCGCTTTTAATTTGAAAGCTGTTTAAATTCATGGTCACTAAAAAATATCGAAAACGTTTCAATCTTTTTCCAATAAATATAGACGTTTGCAACCTCCGAAAAGTTTGGCAATGACTAACGCTTCAGCCTAACAATAAAAAGATTTGCCCCAATTGCAGAAATAAAAAACGATGCTAGAGTTTTATAAAAATTTAAATGGCAGTTGTCACATAAAAACATCGCCAATAAATCGAAGGATCTCCGCCATGAGAAGGAATTCTTTCTTCCATGGATAGCGAAATAAACGGTGGGTCCGCACTTGCAACGGCCAAAAGTTGCGGTTCGATGGGGGCAAGGTTAAAAAGGGAGGCAGTCAGAAGAAGAAAAAAAAGGTGGTGTTGGGTGGGAGGCGGAACATTTCGTAGTTGGCCTGTCGGGGGGTAGAGAGTGGGAAAGCTGGTGGGCAGTGGTGCCCGAGAAGTAGGAGGACGAGGACGAGGAGGACGAGGTGGATTCGAGGGTAGATTCTGGACACAGAAGAAGAGAGTGAGCGAGAGAGAGCACGCAGAGTATGGGGAGGGAGGCTTGTGTGTGTGTGTGGAGGCTAGAAAAGAGGGGGGCAGTGGGCCCCTGGCGGCCCTCTGATGGAGTAATTGTGTTGGGCGAGGGCCCCCTCCCGGTGCCCGAGAAAGGGAGGGGCACCACACGCTCAGAATACGGGCTGCTGCTGGAAGGGCCCACCCAGGCTATGTGGCCCACCCCGGGACTCAGCTAGGAGGAGGAGGAGGATGAGAAAAGCATCGACATACACACACGCGGCCCACACCCAGGATCGATACCCCAACGGAATAACGGGTCCTGAAACCGCACCCCAAAACAACATCCCTTTTCCGGGATTGCGCACCATTTTGCCGCACACCTTCCCCTCGATGCGTCAGGGCCCGAGGCTACCTCTTCTCCCTTTCATCCCCCCACACCTTCTATAGGCATTAGTCTGTTCCGGCTGAGATCGATACACGGCATCCGGTTGACTACCCTTCGTATATTATTCTCGCTCACTATTTTGGCCATTGTTTTCCCCACACTTTCCCGAATTTTTTGGTAAAGTGCTAACCGGCTGTATTGGGGGCATTTTATTCAAAGCGTTTGGCTTTGTCAATTTGATTTCGGAGCTCCGCAAATTTTCAGGGTCATTTTTTACTTTTCATCTATCATCTAGATTTTTTCTCACTCTAGTGTCTTTTTAATCGTCCACGCTACAATTTTTGAATTCCTCTTCGCGACATTGTTGCTTTCAATTATAACCACCACCTGAATTCGACAGCTGACCCCCGGATGCAACATTTTCAGCTGCTCCTACAGTCAACCCCCATTAATTCAGACTCATCGTTGAATTCTCAAGCAAAATAAACGATTTTTCCACCCCAGATTTCCGGGCCGAAATAAACAAGAAAAGCAATGAGACGATATACACCGCTTCTTCACTACCCGCGCAAAAACTCTGGCGCAAATC